CATTTATAACACTGCCCATATGTGATGTTCATGAACGAGTCAGTCGTTTGAACGGCTCTTCTAAGTGAACGATGAGAACCGTTCAGTGACGAGCTCCCAAATCCCATCTCTACCACCTTCACGTCAACTCCGATCACGCCTTTTTCTGTTTGCGACACTGCACCACGTTGCTCCCACGACTCCAGGTGGTATCACAACTGGGCGGCAGTAGCTCAGGAGGTAGAGTGGTCGTCCAATAACTGGAAGATTGGCAGTTTGATTCCCCTCTATCTCAAGTCTGTCGGTTGTGTCCTTGGCCAAGACATTTAACCCACCTTGCTCTCAGTGTGTGTCCTCCACTGGTGTGTGATTGTGACTTATGTGGTGGTGGTCGGAGAGGCCGTAGGCGCAAACTGGCAGCCACGTTTCCCAGGGCAGCTGTGACTACTAAGGTAGTTTACCACCACCAGGGTGTGATTGTGGGCGAATAAAGCGCTTTTAGGGTCTCTGATAAAGCACTATATGAAATCTGATGCATTAATATTATTCATTACAACCAAAGTACCTTCAGCAGTCTCAAAACTAACAGTTGCAAACCCATGTCTCTAAATGCTGCAACCATCATCGCAGTTATACTTCTGTCATAGCTGTAAGCTTCTGGGCAATGCATCTACTCCTCACATCTATTTCATGTGACGTTCTGTCAACATAATGCACAGACATTCACCATGACATGATTTAAAGGACAGTGTTTACCATTTATACATGACATGACCAACTGTTCAGTTCGTTTCAAACAAACAGCGGTCTCAGAGAATTTCAGCATCTGAAGCAGCTATCGCCATTGTTTTCAGAAATGCTTCTACAACACTCAAACTCCAGTTGTGATTGGTCTGACCTGAATTGGGTCAGATGGAAGTCAGTTGGAACTAGAGGGGATCAGAAGTATCTGCCAGAGCACATAAAACATAAACACAGAGATTCATCTTGTTTAACGGCTAAGCTTCAGTTGTTGTTTTTTTTTTTTTTCCCCCTCCTGCAGGCGTTGACAGGTGGTTTTATTATCTGTTTGATTGTGACAGACCTTCGTAATTTTTGTCTAGCTATAAGCAGGCCATTCAACAATTGTTCGACACTTGAATGGGGAGATGGTTGCCAAAATTACCAGGAATAAAAACAGTCAGATTGCACTTTTGAGTCTCTGCGCCAGCTTCAAATAAATTGATGGAGGAAAAAATGGAAAAGGAAATTGAAATCCTCTGGATACCTGAGCCCCGTATATGCTGAGATGCTGTGATACTGGCATTCATATGTGGTTGGTTAGGTAAAATGAATGCATATAGCTTAAAAATCTTGACATATGGCCTTTTTTTACTTTATCACACCAGCCAACTGCTCTTAATAATGTGTTATTACTTTACTGGCTCTCTGTGTGTTACCTAAGTCCAGCTGTGTCGAGGTTAGAACTTGTTTATGCTGTACTCGAACTCAAGTATTAGCATGAGGATAAGTTTAGCCACAATTTTATCAGTAATTACAATCAGAACATGGTCCAAGGGAGGTTATGAATCATTAAATGCCACAGAGTTCATCTGACTAACAGTAAAACAGCATATTTTGGTCACTATTTACATAAGTTTTTATGACTTAGCATGAACTTTTTGGACAGAATAGACTCGTGCCAGCCAAAGAGCCAATGCACAAACAGTATGACTTTTATTACTGAACTTGTTAACTTCTCATAGTTGGTCCAACATATTTAGATAATGCAGTTGGAGAATGTTTCCTCTTCCATACCCACTGAGCATTTTTGGTCAAAAAGAGGTCTAATAGACGTCTTATGTAGCCGAGACGACTGGTCTGAAATCAGGCTACCACAGGTCTAAAAATGAAAGTTTTTTAGACATCTAAATTTAGACCAAGTTTAGACTAGCTGGCATTTAGAGGTCCACACTGTATGGTATGGTATGGTCTTTATTGTCATTGCAAATGTGCACAACGAAATTGTATTTACAGATGGGGAAAGTACAATTAATATGAGTGCAGTGACAAAAAAAAACCTCAGCAACATGAGCACATTACTGACACCCCATACACAGAGATGCAGAGACATGCTATGGTTGTAGAGGGAGGGGCGGGGGGGGTAGTGGAATTGGTCATCAGTGATGGTGGGAAGCCCACATCTGCTGCCCACGGGCGCTGCCAGTCAGGGTACTACCCAACGCACTGAGGGGTGAAGCGTCAAAGGCGTTGGGTGGGGGAGAGGTGAGTATATTGCTTAACGGCCATCATAATTATTTTGGGTAAGTACTTGGAGAACAGTTATGCAACTCACAGTTCTTTTTGAAATAAATAGTTATCGAATAATGGGTTAAAGTTCAACTTCTAAATTACTTCTAGAAATATAAAGAATCTAGACGGTTGAAATTAGGTCTATATATAAAAAAAAAAAAAAACTAGACGTCTAATAACCATCTGTTGCTCAGTGGGTACATACATCATCAGATCATCAGAGTGAAACTGGGCTTAGTGTTCACCGCATGCCCCAGAGTTTCCATGCCAACTTGGAGTTGGATTAGGCAGTGAATAAAACTTCAATAAGACATAAAAAAGATGAATTGTAGTGATGAGTGAACAAAAGCTCCAGAGCTGTAAAAGCTACTATTTTTATACAACAGTTGTTGGTTAGTCACTTGCTAACATGTTTGTCGATTGTTATGGTACATAATAGGTCACTGGGAAATGACTCAGTGGTAACAAGCTGAAGGGGAAATGTCACCACCTGTGATAATGGAGGCAGACATGCTTCCGTCAGTAATTCAAGTCTTACGAATAAACTTGGACAATAACAGCAGTCCAGTTGAATTGCCAAATTGAGCTATAACTGTATCTTGCCTGAAGTGTGGATGTAAATATTCGGTTTATTCCTGTAGCCTTCCTACTGAGAAAATGAAGCTCCCACTGGAGAATTCGAATCGGCTCCTGTGGTGATGTAACAACACGAGCAATTTGCACAAGTATGTATATGCGTACAACCGCTTCCACCTCTGCTTTCATGCGCACCCTTCCCCCACAAACTATACTCAGGCAGTCAATCAGCCTCCTTTGTATAGCATCCCTGTCCATTCAGATCCTCCGATGGTTGACAAGGTTAGAAACGAAGAGGCTGGCACTTCCCTGAGTCATTACCAAACGTGTTCAATCTTGTAAGTCCACATGCCCTGAGAAACTCTGCAGCAACCAGTCCTCTTAACTCATTTAGCTTCGTTTTACCAAGAAGTGAGAAATAAAGCCAACATGGTGGTGCTAAAAATCGAAGCCCCTCAAGGCTAGCTGCAAAAGCCAAGAAATGTCATTAGCCTCCATGATGAAAAAAAAAACTGTTTTGACAGCAGAATTTAACTTGTGCACACCCTGTAGTAAAAAAGTGATTTTGGACTCTATAAAACATTTTTTTCGTTCCTAAAATCTTGGTGAGGTGTTCCTTTTGTTGTAGCTCATCTGTTTTGAGTATTAAATACAAAAAGCCAAGAGTTGGGCTTAAGTTTGAGGCGTTTCAACTTGCTTACCAGGATTTATTTGGTGTCCTCTGCTCCACTGCTTTGCCTGTTTTTAGTTTTTAGCCAACAGCCAGTTAGAGTCATCATTTATAATACAGTGACTGCCCCGGTGTGGACTTCTCAGCCTAACCAGGGAGAGCGCACATGTATCTGCTCATATGGTGTGAAATCATATCCAGCCAGGGTGCCATAATCCACCGCTTTTATTCTACTTTATGAACTGTCTTTTCTTTTTTGTGTGTGTTCAGACTCTCTTCTGTCTGCCTCTCTGCTACCTGCAGGGGCACAGCTTCAGTATCTAAGGCAGCCGGCTCACCTGTGGCTATTCATTTTTAGACTGGCCCCTATGGATGCCTCGACTCTTTGTCGACCCTTTTAATCTGTGTTTGAGTTTTCTCCGGTTTAATATGTTTTGAATGCAACTTTTTTTTTTTTAGTTTTCCGTTACGGTGAAGCAATTTTTGCATTTCACTGAAAACAACCAAGATAAATCACCTTTGTTGGATTATAAAAAGTCGCAAAAAGGGGGATTAGGAAGTCTGGTTTTAAAACCCTTTGTTGTCTTTTTCTTGCATTGTTGGATAAAACGGCTGAACTACTGCAGTAAAGAAAACATTCTTCTCGAACCCGGCTTTGGTTTATTTAGAAAAGATGTTAAATATAACCTGAGTTACCTTGAGACGTCAGTACTCCTTCAGGCCAAATAGTCAAACATCAGTTATCTTAGGGATTTATGCGGCATTCAAGTTACCTCAGAAGTCAGACGCAGGAGCCGAAAATGACGCCACACTTGAGTTACGAGCGTTTCAGTTACCAAGTCAGAAAAAAATCAAAATTGTTATATTTGGACAAGGCAAGAAAATAACTTTCGTAGATGTAGCCATCTTGTTTCCACCTCCGATTTTGCTTTTTTCCGACTTTTTTCCGAAGTTTATTGATATTTTTGGTTCAAGATGTGCAGCCTCTTGTACGCTCTGGGAATCCTATATGCATCTATATAAACTGTCTTTTAAACAGATGGCTAGAATAAAATACTGCATTTTTATACCAGAGCAGTGTCAACATGGGAGAAACTCCTAGAACAATTAATATTGGAATCTATTGTTCCCCTGCAGAGCAACTCAGCAATATATGCTATTTGGTTTCCTGCTATATGTTCCAACTCCCTTCTGCCCAGAGTTGACGTTGCCAACGCCTCAGACATTAATGCTGTGTTGTTAAGCGTTCCTACGTCTCGAGCAGTTTCTTGCTGTGCCTCTCACTCTGGGTTTTCTTCACTCCTTCCTGAACTGGGAATGCACCCTGTCTTCCTGAGCGAGCATCAAAATAAAAAGTGAAGTCTTTATGCCGTAGAGATGGCAGTGTGAGCTGCAGGCCTTGGGCATGTTCTGTATGGGGGTGATAAAAAAAAGAAAAAACTCCTGACACAATGTAAAAGTGAGCTCACCTCGAAGCAAAGGTGATGGGAACACGAAGCATTGAGTTTCTCCCCCCGCATGCACAGATCTGAGCTGATTTACACTGAATAACAGCGCTCGCCTTTCTTTTCTTTCTCGGCTTCGATCACTATTATGTCTCCATCATAGACTGAAGCACTCCCCCACTGTAGGTGAAGATTACCTTCAGATGATTGGAAATTATTATTTCTCGACACAATCCGCTTTCAATTTTCCTTTTCTGCTCAGCTTGTGAAAACATGTTCTTTCCTAATCTTCTTTTATGCTCTTTTCTCGAAAAAACAACCAAGCACGATAAGGACTGGGGCAATGTCTTTGCCTCCCTCTGTGCTTGTGTTGTATTTTACAGATTCCCTTGTTTGGTTTCTTTGAATAACTTTTAATCATTTCAAACCATTAAGAGCGTTCTTGGCGGTCTTTATGGACAAACATTGCAACTAAAAGATGACAAATAAAGGGAAATGTTGCCTCTGGAAATCATTCCTGGTATAGCCGAGGAACATGTGGTGTCAGTTTCCCTGATTTGCATTTCTCAGAAGCATATGATCAGGTGGAGCTCCCACCATGCCATCTAATCCAGAGGCAGTCTGGCTTTAAGACATGTGATACAGTCTTTACACTCAGCCAGGCTGTACGGGAACATTTGTCTCTTAGTGCTCGCTGAGGGGGGGACTCGGTGAGAGAGAAAGAGCCGCTGCTCAGAGGCTGCCTCTCACTGGAAGGATGCAGACGGTGAGAGAAGAGATTCCACTACAGTTAATTAAGGAGCACTCTGCACGTGCCTATAAATGCGAAGGGGCAAATGAATTCAGTGTCAGTGGGAGCAGCTCCTCGAGGGGAAGCAGTGATATTTCAAAGGTGGAACTGAAAGAGCTGTAAATCTATTTCCTGACTCCGACTTGACGGTCATTTCTGAATCACTGGACTGTTGCTATCAAAGTGTGGAGCAGGCAGGCAGAGTCAGCGGAGTTCCCTCCTCGAGCCAAATTCAAGACTTATTGGATGGGATCAACATGAGCAGCATTATGGATGGATTTATGTCATTCTGCTGAGATATTTATACACTCTTTGTCTGGTTGCTCAGGTAAGATTTTCTCCTCTCCACTCTGGGCAGAAAATAAATCACAGCATTGTCGGGAGATTTGGTGTTTTGCATAAAAATGGCAAATCAGACATTTACCGTGGAAATCTGTTTGAATGTCAAATTTGAGCCCTCAAATAAAAAGATGTCTTTCTTTAATCTGATACCAAGATGTTACTAAAATTGATTTTATTTCTAATTTCTGTTTGATTGAAAATGTTTCATAGCCATTAAGTTATTATCCTCTGTGCTTTATTGCTACTTTAGATGCTGAAAAGCACAATGGACATGTGCATGGAATAGAAAGTACTCTGTAATTTGACTGTATTATTCATTTACTTTAAACATTAATGCGACTGACTGAAATATACACGTGTATCTTTTCTCAGCTTTGATAAAAGTTCGCATGCTCTTTGAAAAACAAGTGTTTTTGATCACTTTAAAAGTGCTACAACATTTTTTAAAGAGAATAATTCAACACATTTTGAGCCTTTGTTGAGGGTATCGTATGATGCATTTGGATGGTGACTAACCTGATTCTTTCTGGCAGTTTTCTCCTGTGAATAAAACTACTGTGAAATGATTTCAGGGCTGAAACATTTTGCATTTTCTCCCTCATAGATTTCCTCCTCTCTATGACCAGGAGCATTCCTCGCTGTCGTACCGTATCTCCTTTTTTTTCATTCCTTATCTAAACAGCATGGTGAAACATTACAAGGCTTTTGATTCCCATTACTGCTGTGTCACTGTCACATTACTCTGACAGATACAGAAAAGCCTCAGCAGACAGCAGCTCACAAAAATCTTATCTTTCTTCAAGTTTAAGGCGTTTTTTTTTTTTTTTTGGTTCTGAGGCGGGAGCACGGCTCAGGAGTTGAAGGGAGTCAGCCTGTCATGGGAGATCTCTGCTGCATGGGGGGAAAAACTCCCCAGGGATTACTCCACATTCTCAGCGTTGTGGCTCAGGGACAAGACAGGGCAAACCAGGAGGAGGAAACAGTGAAGAACTCAGACTTATATAATCATGCTAATGATAAATTTGATGACTAAACCTCCACTGAGGAGCGATAAGGCCAATTATAGGCTTGAGTGCTTGTAAAAAACTTGAAATCCCTCTTTTGGTGTTTATTTTTTATTTTGCTCATGGCTGTGGAAGTTTACTCGACTGTGTTGGAGGCGCTGGGTGGGTTGAAGTCAAAGGTTGAGAACATGCTGTTTTATTATTATCTTTTTTATTTTTTATTTTACATTGACTTTACCTCTGCCGGTCTGCAGCAGATGTGTCCTGTCATGTCCTGGCTGCTCTGCCTGTGCCTCTGGGTCAGTGTGACGGCCATCCAGCTGTGTCAGGCCACTTTCTACGACACCATCCAGCAGCATCATGGGACGCGGCCTGGACGGACCACCATCCATATGATCGGTGAGTCCTCAGGTGGACAGGAAATGGTATCAGCAATGTGCTTTTATTGTGGGGGTAATGGGTTTGGCTGCTCATGTGTTGAATTAGACTGTCACAAGCCTGGGTTTATGTTTCCTTTTAAGCTTTGTCAGGTCATTATTCGCTGATATATATAAAGCTGGAAATAACAAGCAATTATTCAGGAAGCACATTGAACTATTACTTTGTTTCATTAGAATTTGGACTTGGTATAAACAGGGACGGGTCCAGATTTCTTAGACTGAAGGTGCCCCAACTGAGGTGGCCACTGACTTATGCACAGGAGTCATTTTCCTATGTTTCTACGATATCTACTTCAACACAAACATGAAGATATGATACTGTTGCTTGATTCCCATCTAATATTAAAATAAATCAGTATTAGGGTAAAAATCTTTAATGTTCAGATCTTAAAAGCTCCTGTGAGGAATTTTTAGTTTGTGTCAATTTTGGCGCCCCCTGTGGACAAAAGGGTCTTAAGTGATCTTGTCCTTTAAATATGCTGTGTTCAATTACTTTTTTGGCCACTGTAGATTCAGACATTGAACATTAACATAAAGAAACTCTAACCCTAACCCTAGCCCTAACCATAGCCGAACCCTAGCCCAAAGCCTAACCCTAACTCTCGTCTTACCCTTAACTTAGCCCTAACCTTAATCCAAAGTTTAACCCTAACTCTAGCCTTACCCTTAACCTAGCCCTAACCCTATCCCTAACCCTTTTGTTTGACATATAGTTGCCTCAGTATTATTTTCTGACTGTTTTATAACTAGTCTAAAACTACCCACAGGAGCTTTAGGACAAAAAATGTATCTCCAAAAAGTTCTGGAAAAGGAAATGTTCATCACTGGAGTGCACAAAAGCTTCAAGAAGCGTGATTGGTTGGTTTAATCTTGAGTACCACCTCTCATAAATCAGATATCCAATCGTATTTATGTGGTGACAGCTGGAGCGGTCAACCAGATTTCAGGGGTTTCAGTGCTGAAACTGCAGTTCCTCAGGTGTCCACTGGAGGCTGGCTGCAAAAACACGAAGAACCACATACACACCCATTCAAAAAATCCCATCTTTTGAGCAAACATAAACATGTGTACAGTGTGGTTTGTAAACAGCATTTCTTTATCTGCACACTCTGTATCAGGTGGAGATTTTTAATAATGCAGGTTTTGCAGAACACGCCTAACTTGACTGACAGGCGAGTGCACCTTTTGCTCTTTGTAAGACGGCTCATAATTTCAACTCTTTACTTTGTTATGTCAATTAAAAACATGACCACCATCTTTATAAGTCTTTAGATATTTTCTACAGAAGCTAATGGGTGACGTCATCCGATGTATTATACAATCTATGGTCCAATGTCAGCCCAACCCCCCAGCTTTTGAAACGCCACTGGACAAGATGAAAATTTAAGCAGTGAGATCACAGAAAGAGGCGATGAATGCCTTTGCATTTCCCTCTTTTTCTATTCCAGTTGATATTCATGGTACACTGCTCCTTCTCAATTTGATCTGAGTGATTGTGGCCTCTGTAAAATTGCATTGAATAGAAGACGACCGAAACATTGCCGTCAAAACTTTTGATTTCGTTAGGCGGATGTGAGCTGTTGTTATTGCAAATGATTATGATCCAAGGATCCGACGGAGGACAGGAAGAGAAAATGCTTGTCAGAACTTCAAAGGCAGAAGTAGCTGCATAAACGTGCAGGTCCTTGGTGTCGGTTATTTCCTGCATATCAGCAAGGGGTCTTTTTCAATACGCTCAATATTGTGAGCCAGGAGACTTCCTGTTCCAGCACCTTCATTTCATTACTCCAGTCTGGCACATGTGTATCAGAGGAGGCAAATAAGACACTAACAAATAAGACATCTACTAGAAAAAGTGGTCTCATGTCAACAAAAGGGAAATGGAATTAATATTTCAAATGTGCAGCCAAGAAACTCTTTGGAGAGAATGAGTTCAAAGCGAACAATTGGAGTCCTTCAGGAGCCTCTGTCACTAAAAGTGTAAATGCCCTGTCATTCCATTTACCATAGCATGGCCAGCCCTCACCCTGGATAAATGAGATGCCAGGTTTATGAGAGGAGGATGGGATGCCTGTCTGGATTGATTCTGACACAGGGACATTTGTTCTGTGCCGGGTGTTGTGTGCCTGTTGGATTGGCGGGAGGATTGGGGTTGACGGGTCACGAATTGGTGGCGAGGAGGCCGTCGGTTGCGGACCATTCGGGCAATCATTAAAGGCAGCGCAAATGCCACAAGTTCACGGTGAGTGGTATTACCAGAGGAAATCGAGATTACAGAGGGCGGCGGATCAGTTGTGTCCTTGCCAATAGAAATTTAGATCTATAGGGAGGGATTGTTGTTGAGAAAAAGGCAAGTCAATCATGTGTGGTGACTTCTGGAGCAGCTAAATTATGACCTGATCTTCGTATCCTTTCGACAAACACAAACTGGAGATAAATTTTGGGTTGTAAATAAAAACACCTGTAGCGTGAAAAGGGCGTATGTGACAGGAAGATAACGGATTTATCAGCGGGATCGTGTTTTTCACTCCAAATAATAATTTCATTTGACAGCTTATAAGCTTCTCTTCCATTCAGAGTTATTGGCACAGAAAGTGTGTCCTAAAGTCCATTAGTCGGATGACCCTTGAATAGCTGCTTGTGTGTGCTCAGTGATTCGGACAAGGCGGCCTGTTTTCCAGCCTACAGCTCTACTTACAGATTGCTGCCTGCCACTCTCTCAGATATGCTGTGGGCTGTTTTCTCCTCTCCTCTCCCCCCCCCCCCCCCCTCTGCCTTCCCTGGGTGCAGGCGGTGTTGCTCTCTCTGCGGCATGATTCATAAGGTGCTGTATTTATTTGGTGCAAAGAGCGTGAACTGTGCACGAAATAGAACAGATTGTGTTTGTCGTGCATCTGTAATGTGGCAAGCGGAGATGTTGCCTTTTTTTTTTGGGTCATGCGTTTCTCGACCTCAGAGGGAACCGCGGGGAGGATTTTTCATTGTTTTAAACACAGCTCGCTGGAGAAGAATGACCTCTGTTGTGGATGGATACCACTGGAAACGTTCAGATCTGCTTTGCATTACACTTTTTCTGCAGCTCTTAAACGAAATTTAGTCAAAACAAGAATGAAAAATAAAAAAAAAAGCCGACTGCCAAAAGAACAAAGATGCGTTGAGTGTTTGGAGCAGCTGTCTATTTCCAGCTGGAGAAATAGTGCCATTGGTGATGCAGAGCATGATGTGGAGGTGTTAGCAGAGCGTACGACAAAGAGTAGATAGTGGCTGCCTGGGGTGGCCTTGCTCTCCTGCGAACTCACTCCCACCAACAGCCGGCTTTGCAAGGTCAAACTGTTCATAACTGAGAGGTCATTGATTCTGAGCACCATGTGCACGTCGGCCTTTTACCTTGTGGTTTGTGTAAAATGTGTAGCAGCGAGTGAGCAAGCGAGTGTGCATAATGAGATATGCAGAGCAGCAGAAGTCGGGGGAAACGAGCAGAAGTAACTCACTTGTAAGTATCCGCTGTATAGTATAATTTATTCAGACTCGGGTCATAAATACTTAACTCTGTGTGATATCAATTTCAATGCCTTTCTCTTTGCACATACAGTAACATATGATGATAGATCTCTAAAGCTGCTATGGATACCCCTTTCCTATTATCTCTCATGAATTCACCTTGAATATGGATTTACTTTCAATTTTAGCTCACTTTAACACGACTTCTCTCTCAATATGCGCGGTAAACCTGTAGTTTTGTTCCTTTCCGCGGTGAAAATGCCACTAAAATCCCCCATGCCTCTCTTTCAGGAGCTTTAGAGAAGAGCAGAGGATCAGAGCTTTTTTTTTTTATGCGCTCCAACAAAAGAAACCACTCGCTGCTAAGGCTCACAATGCAACAAACATGAAAAATGGATTTTCGCCTGTCACAAACAAAGGTTGCATCCTCTATGCACTGTTTTAGACAGTGACAATTTAATAGCCTTATATAATGCATCCTGCAGGCACATTATTTTGACATATATCTTCCTCCTCCCCGCCCATAGTCCTCCTCTCAACCATACTCTCACTAGTGTCAGCGCTGCTTGGCTGCAGCGCCGATGGGAAGTGGCGTGCAGCCTCAGCCCGAGGCCCCCCTCCACATCTGGAGCTCAGCAAACCCACTTTGTTCTGCTGTTGTTAAACATGCCAGTGCGACATCGAACGGACCTCTGACCACTCTGTAAAACACCACAAACTCTATAAACTTCAAAACGCATTTCTTTTGTTATGTTGGCTTTAAGAGGCGACGCTCGTTCAGCTGCAGTGGTTTCATATATTCTACAGGAATCAACTCTCCGGTTCCTTGTTGAGCCCTGAGAGGAGAATATACACTTAAGTAAATGAATCTAAGGACAATCAGGGGTCTAATTATCACTGTATGCTCACAGCTACAAATAGTTTTTATATATTTCAATATTTCCCATTTATTCCCTCTTTCAGCCGTTGAATAATTCATGAGAGAGCTCCTCTAAGCTGGTGGATATTTGTTTATACAGCATGTGTAATTGAAGTCTTTCAGCCAATTCTGTGCAGGGGCTATGGTTTGTGGTCACAACGCTTAAATGCAAAATGAATTTCTGTGGCCCACAGCTTAATTAATTAGCCAGCATTTTCTCTCAAGACTCCACCAGCTGTTTCTCGCCTCTGCCAGGATCCCCGAGCATTAATAACAGGGGCGTTAACAGCAGCTCCCTGTGTATCACTGTGTTAGGGTCACGGCTGTTTCTGGCGAATTTCTCCGCATTGCTATTAACTCTTGCGTGCAGGAGTGTAGTATTTCAAACATGCAGTAACACCTCGGGGTTTGTAGGCAATTATCTGTTTCAACGAAAGTCGAGCTCGTAGCTTTGCTTGTGAAGTTTGAGAACTGGAAATTAACCCCGAACCCATGACATGTAATTAACGTTGATCGGCTCATTTTCTTTAGGTCTAGATTTCCTTTTTCTTACAAAACAGCATTTGTAGACAATCGTAAAACTGAGTGTGCCTCTTATATACACCTCTACCTAACTAAAGTAAAGTCTGGTAACACTCAATTTTCTTAAAGTTTTATTTTTTTGTGCTTGTAACAGCTGTGAGGGGGATATTACACCTAAGAAACAACTTTAATTACTTTTCCCACAGCAAATATTCACAGTGAGTGTCAAATTTAAAGACAGCAGTAGGAGATCTTTTTATCAATTAACACCATTTTAACAAAGATGGGACAATCCATAATGTATAGAGGCACACTTAATGTAAGTCTAACTCAAGTAATTTACTTAAGTCTCAAAAATATTTAATTCATCTGAAACCTATCTTTGTTTTTAGTCATTTTAAGGCAAAATAATGATAGATTGTAAAGTCCAGTCATGTACAAAGTGCTTTACACAATGCAAAAACCAAACAAAAAACAATTAAAAGTACAGAATAAAAAGATAAATTAAAGGTCCAGTGAGGGTTTCTTTTTTTTAAGGTCATGAAAGAGACAGAAATTCAAATTATAGCACTTTCCTGAAACTCAAAAGCAGTTATGAATACCATGGATAAGCTATATATAGTAATTTTTAATGCCAGAAGCAATTTTGAGGGGGTAGGTGTCAGCCGAGCAGACCCTTTTTTCTACTTCTTCTTTAACTGTTCACAAAATGACACGCCTGACCACAAGAAATCAGCAAAATGAGATTCATTGTTAAAAGACAGTATTAAAGCATGTCAAGGACTAGATAAGACTGCTTTATTTACAAAAGTTCCCTACTGGAGCTTTAAAACATCAGCTGACTAAAAGAAGAAGACTTGAAAATATGGATAAAGTGTAAGAATGATAAGCATTTTGACATCATAAGTCTTTTAAAGTTATGAAAAAGAAGAAAAATAATGATTACAATGGCATGTTTCAGGCTGAAAGATATTTATGGTGGTAAAACTCGACAAACTCTCCCTGAGGACCACCAATGGAGCATCTAATTCTAAGATCTGACTGCTAGATATCACTTGATTTTTCACTTTTGCAAACTGTATTTTTTTTTCATTTGGTATCCGGATATTTGTTCCCTAAAGAAAACTGTTTTAATTGCCAAAATAAAGCCTCAAACCTGGAAACCAGCTGGGATCCCTGTGTGTCAGTCCTGCTCTTCATAGACTCCCCATCGATCCCAACCACCTCCATGTGAGTGGAGCGGAATATTCAAAGGCAGAAAACAAACCTAGTCTTAGAGCAGTAAAATCTTGAATCTTTCTTCCCTGTTTGCATTAGAAAAGCGCTCTTGTTATGCATGAATGTAATTCGAAGGAGAGAAGGTTGCATGAAAGCGCGAGAGAGAAAAATAGAAGGGTCAGCCCTGTTGAGATGTAGCTCTGTACTTCAGTCTGACCTGACGTTACCATCCATACAGAGAATCCACAATGAATCTATTAGACCTCAAGTCTCTAAAGAGCTGAGGTTTGTGTGTAAGGTTTTGAAAATGTCATTAACTGGCGAGAGATAAGCGGGGCTTGTCCACTCATTGCTGTAAACAACACTCACCACCAAGGTTATATGGGTGGGCTTGAGAGGGGGGATGAATAAACGTTTTGCCGTTTATGAGATGCAGCATATAAGGGTTACACAAAGTCTGTTATGATTTGGGTTGGAATAGCTTGAATGTGGAATATTTGTGTTTATGCGGACATAAAGGTATAATTTTCAGCCCCTTGGCTAATCGTTCCTGCGGAAAAATCCTCATGACTGCTCGTAAAGAAATCTCGCAGTTTAGAGACATTTCCTGTTAAGTAACCGCCGAGGATAGAGGAGCGTTTTTCGCCTCAGAATGGCATTATTAGTTGATCGTTTCAAACCACTTTGCCTTTGTTATGTTGAGGAAGTGGAGCATCCTCTCGGGGTCATTACCAAGATTTTAAGACCCTTGTTTTGTTTTGTAGTTAGCAGCTAAAAATGTTGTTATGACAGCTGACATCGCTAAAGGAGAGTTGACTCCGCAGCCCTGAGTCCTAATTCACAGTGCTTTAATCCAGAAATAGTCCAAAAAAGAACAAAGCTCAGCTCAGCGTTGATACTTTTCTCTTTTTTTTTGTTATTGTGAGCAAACAGAAGAAAAACAAGTCAGTGAATTTTGCAAATATTAAAACCATCCTCTGTGGAAAGTTAATGCACTGAACAGTCAGGAGCATCTGCAGCGGAAAAATGACTAAGTGGCTTCTTAACAGAGTTTATAGATTACATTAATTTTTCATATCAGTTAATGTGTAATGATGATGTTAGGTGTAATGAGTGTTAAAGTTTAATTACTGTGAATTATACATCCGAATTAGACCAGGAGGCTGGGTTTGGAAAGCGGGGACAGACTGGGGCACAGCTTTAGAGAACTGGGACACATTCGTAAATGGAGTGAAAAAATATGTTAATACTTGGATTTAAAGCTCTGGCTCTTGGCAGCAATACGTTCGTCATCGTTTATAGTTAGGTTGCTTATTCGGTGTGATAAAGAAAATCAAATACTCTTATCAAAATTAATATCAACAAATAGCTGCTATTTGTGACGCCAAATATCCCACAGCCAGAAAAAGATTAAAGGACAACACATACACAAGTAAGAGGCTCCTCTCCTATCCCTGCAGCGAAACACGCTGTCCTTATTTCCTCCTTTTATTCCTCTCTTCATTTTGTGTCTCTTGTAAAGTCATTCTCAGGCTGTCTGTGCTTGTTTTACATCTTGTTTTGCACCCCATTTGGCACCTTATCTCGCTCCTCATTTTGCATGACATTTTGAACCTCTTTATTGTTACTCTCCATCTCTTTGTTGTCATTTTGCAGCTCTTAATCGACCAGCACCTCTCAATTTGGCTGCTTTAATTCCCAGTTTGTATTTGGATTCTTCATCACTTTGCAGTTTTACCCATCTGGGCAGATTTTTTGCTATTTTTGTGGTCACTTTCCATCTCATAGTTGCTGTTTTGCATCTCTGTTTTCTATTTCTAACCCTTGGGAGTTATTGAGCATATCTTTTTAATCATTTTCTACCATTCTAGCGTCGTTTTTTAAATCTGTGTGTAATACTTTTGTATATTTTTATGGTTGCATATCTTTTTTGTTGTCATTCTACCTCTCCTCATAGTCATGGCTGCCCCTTTGTTGTCATTGTTCTTCTTTAAAATCTTCAAATTTTCCACCTCTCTGCAGTCAGACTCATTGTAGTCCTCTGCATCTCTTTGTCTATGTTTTGTAGCCTTGTAGCCTTCAGTGTTTTCATCCCTTTGTGCCTGTTTCCTTGTTTTTGTCCCTTTTTTGTTGAAACGGGGCTTTAGTGTTTATTATAATGTCATTCTGATCTGAGATGAATGGTTTCATTATGTACTATTTTGTCCCTCTCTGTAGTTAATCAGCCACAGCGTCTCACTGTGATATTATAAAACCACCGCTGCACTTTTGAATGGCACACTCCACTTAAAAAAAAAACTCACAAATAGCTCAGTTGAAAGGTCAAAAGTTATATTATCTTTGTAAACGTCCCTAAAGTACTTTGGGTTTTATAAACTAAGCATTCAGGTGCAGCTAACCAGAGAGTGTCAGCAGGCAGGCACATCACAAAAGCTAACAGAGTGCAAATCACTAGAGACTTACTGAATGGGAGGCTGGCTGGTCAATATTGTGGAAGACTTGTCCTCAGGTCGGTATGTTGTGATTGGTCAATATGCCGTAATCAATAGTCACAAGCATGAGGGACCTTTGTGAACCTGCTCCTGAAGAGTGCAGGTGTTTCATACTGTAAATATGATTTCAAAAACTGCTTTAAAATACGAAATAAGGAGATTTTAGACTTATTATAAATTATGTGATTAATTGTAAAAAGTTTAAGGTGTTTCATCTTTTTTGTACCTGATTTTTTGCAGTTCTTAGCAGCTGTTTTTGTCTCTGTTTGACTCATTTTGCATCTCTTTGCAGATTTCTTGTTTTGCATCCGTTTGTAGTCCTTTGCATCTTGAACTTATCTTGCATAACTTAGTACTTTTAATTGCTGATTTTCTTCTCATTTTGGATCATCTTGTAGTTTTTGAACCCCTTTGTGGTTGCTTTGCATCTCTCTGTTCTTTTGTTGCAACTAATTTGCGGCTCCGTTTCAACTCCTCATCGTCATTTTGCATCCATTTGCACTTTGTTCTCCTCCTTGTATTTGTGTTTTATGTCTGCTTTTAGTGGTATCAGTGACCCCTCTTGTACAGTCAATGGCATTAAACACTCCCTAATCACTGTAAAGTATCATATTGCACCATAGCTGGACTTGTTTGCTTTGCCTTAAGTCCCCCCTTCAACCCACTGGGGCTCAGAATAACACACTCCAGTGCATGTTGTGTCGCCGCAGTGACAGCACTTCAAATTTCTCTTGATTAATAACATGAAAAAACATCAGTCCAACCTTTTATCTTTTGTTCTCATGCCAGGAAATCAAAACAAGCTCTCACAATGGAAAGGATCCCAGCATCACCACTCTTCACTATAATTGCTGATGTCAGTGGTTGCACAAGCCTGTGTGGGTTCATGAGCGACATGGCTCCTCTTTAATTCAACGTTTTCCCCATGAAAGAAAAACTAATGATGGCTTCATGTCCCCACTGTGTGTAAATATTAAATCACATAGTCCAGAACTTTTCCCCCCAATATGCTCGGAGTATTGTTTTAGCGCGCTCACTCCCCGCTAAGGTAAAAGGCCACCATGCTGCTAAGTTTTCCTCTTCACCAGCGTAACGTTTGTCACTTTAGTCCCTCTTTGGTTTGTTTTTCCTTACCAAAAAAATCCAAGGTGTGGCAGCCCTCAGGCTCTTCTTGCCCTTAAAGATGACAAACAGGAGTTTTTGTCACTTCTCTGTTGGCTATTTGTAGAGGAATTTAGCCGTGATTTGAAATATTTAGTGACCTAGTTGTGGGACACATCATTTTTTAGAATATGCTTAAAACTAGGTCTGTATATTCTGAGTAATTTCTTGTGACTAAACCCCTCCACCCTCCCCAAATTGCATCAGCGTGGAGGAAAAAGCGCTCCTATTAATTCATCTTCAGTATTTGTAGTGGTGAAAATGGGTCCTCATTTCCCCAGTTTTGATTTTCTCAATGAGAGAAATATCTCTCCAGAATGGGAATTATGCTTGGGATCATTTTATATGGCTTTGCCTTTGTGGTTTCACTTGCCTATTTTAAATGCTTGGCAGGAATATGAAATTCATTATCATTACTTAGACCTCATTAAACTGAAAAGAAGCATCTCAACTTTCTAATTGGTTCCAAGGGGGAGGGAGAAGAAGAAATAAGCAAAGTAATTAATATTGGGTTTATCGGGCTCCATTGCAGATTTCTGCTCTAGTGTTTCCTCGGTGTGCCATAAGTCCTCTTGCATATTTACACTACAGATCCAATTACTTTTTTTCTGGGGGAAACTGGTGTGGGGAACTGGGACAAAAATTGGAAAATGCGTTTGATTAAATATGAACGACGAGATTGAAGGATTGATTGCGACATTTCATGTACTGCCAAGTTAGATTAAATACTAGAGAGAACATGACATACTTTTTAAGAGGTTTCTGACATGAGATGTTTCAGGGCTGAATGAATTATGGACTTGATTCTGACTGGTCGATACCCCTCACGAAGAGTATGTTATTTCAAGACAACAAAGTAGTGCTAGCTCAGTTACCAAGAACTGTTCGTCTGTTCACGATAAATCCATTTTGTATCACATGTCAAAGGTTTTTATCAGGTGTTAAAATTATTGATTGTGAGAAATGCACTTTGTTTGTTTCCATGCAAACAAACTGGCTATGATTGTTGTGTAGTGATGGGCACGGCAGTTCTTTTAGATGTACTGAATCACTAGAATCAGTTCACTAAAAAGATTTGTTCAACAGATTCGTTCATCAAATCACCGAATCATTTAGCGGGAGGAGCCTGCGACTCCAACCTCCTGAACTGATTCACAGCTGAACAGTTCAGGATTCAGTTCAAATCATAGCCTCTGGGACCAGGAGACAAGAGTGTTTGGCTGTGTTGCTTTGGCAAACAGGTTTGTAAAAATGAACTTGTTTATAAGTCATGATGTTTTAAGTGTACTGTCCTATGGTATGCTATATACCAGGTCTGCTTGGTAAATTGCGGTCAGTGAGTGATTCGTTCACTGAACGTTTAGAAGAATTCAAACTGAACATGCACCCTCGCAAACCACTGCAATGATAGGATGCTGTGGGTTTAATGCACTACTTGTTACATGCTGTGTCCTATTGTATGAAAGTTGTTGTGATGGCAATTTAGCAGTTAGAAAAAAAGGTAGTTTTTTCAGATAAACATGATTCGAGAGAGTGTAGTTCAATGTGTGATTCGTTCACCAAGTGATTCAGATGTCGGTGCATGTGGTCCCTCGTTTGCTGGCATGGCAATGCTGTTTCTCACTTCAGCTAAACTGAAGTGAGAAACGAACTAATCACTCAAGGAAGTGATTCGGTTCAGTACGTTCACTTAAAAGATTCGGTTCTTTTGAACAAATCGTTCGCGAATGACAAAACACTATTATTGTGCAAAAACACTTAGCCAGGAGTTGCAGCCGTGCACCACGTCTCCACGGCATCAGTATCTTCTTATCTTGTGTTTTCTTCTGTCAGACCAGCTGTGTGTACTTCCTTATTTCACTCAATAAGAACAAGTATGCAGACACCTGGACACCGTGAATCCGACATGTTTTTCTGTACAGTTCTCTTGTTGCGGCAAATCCACACCTAGCAGTCCGAGCATCACTTTACATGACTTACTGTCCACTCAGATTATTTTTCTTTAAAGAAACTACGTGTACACTTCCATATGTTCTGCAGCTACGCTGTCAGGTGATTGGAGGATGATTTGAATTTGCATACCTTAAAACCGCTTTGCTCCACTGCAGCTATGGTGACCTTAACTTTTGTGTTAAAGCAGGATCATTCATTTCTCCATCTTTTACACATTGTGTGTCAATGTGTGTGTTAAAAACATAGTCTGAAACATGATTTTGCAGTAAGTGTTAGAACAGACCGGTCGAAGTTGAAACTTTTCTCCCGTTTGACCTCTTTTTGTCCGGTGTCATCGCCCCAAAGTCACAACAGACCTGGCGTTTCTCCTTGGTGCAAGCTGCTGGAGTTGCTCGGATAGCTCTCCCCCCTCATGTTGTCTTCATGTCACTGACTGGATGAGGCGGCATCATGAGACTTATGTTTTCAGTGGGGACAGAAAATGAAGGCACACAGTGGGGAGAGTATTAGCAGAACGAAAAAAAATAAACGTCAGTCTGACAGAAGCAAGATTTTATTAGGCAGGGGTTCTCAATGTCTCTTTGGATTAATATTTGATTACTTTGCCAGCCCTACGTCAAATCATATCAATATGCTAAAAGAAGTGTTGCACATTTTCCCCCCGGTCTGCTGACACTGTAACAAAAACCTTTCAGATTTTATGGTTTGTAGCTGATGATTCACTAGTAAAGAATTTAAGAAATGAGGAGGTAACAGCCCAAATAAAGCAAAGAGCTCATTGAAAGAGACATTGAGCCCATCAAGGGACTGGTTGAGTGAGGAGAAAATATCAACATCAAGACTTAATCGAGGGCTGTGGTCATTTTACGCATCAGTTCAGTATGCTAATGAGAAGATGCTAATGTTTGGACTGAACCCTGCATGGAAAAATAAGCTCAAAGTCAATGCGACCCTGCCATGGAAGCAATTCTAGAATTACAAAAAAAAATCAACTAAATGAAGTTAAAGTCCTGTAGAAGAGCAGGTTTTAACAGTAGACTCTCCCAATATCAGTGCAGATCTTGCTGTAACAACCCGCTCTGTATACTTTACCCCTTACTTGTTATGTCTGAAAATTTCTCCTTAAACTGTATGTTTAATTAGAAATAAAGGTCCCATGAGTAACTTTTGATTATTTGTGCCATCTTGTGCCTACAAAGTCCTTACACACCGGGACTGACGCAAATATCCGACACGAAATATTCAGAGGCGAATGTGATGCGATTTTGCGACTTTTCGGGGGGGAAAAAAGACACGTGGTGGAAGCGAGAAGACTGACACAACAGCAGACTGACTGTTTTTCAGTTCTGATTAGACTCTAGTGTTGAGATGTCTGTCTGTCATGATAGCATGTACTGAGTCGGGGCCAGTACCAGATAAGCACATTAAACTGTAATCCATAAACGTAAGATAACAACCGAGACCTAACGGTGCTGTGACAGCAACATGATTGAGTTTGAGACAGTGAAAATACATATGGTTTGTTGTATCTGAACAGGTTAGCTTACGAGCTAAAGTTACTTAGCACAGATGAAAGTCAAAACAAAGATGTTTAGCAAACTGTCATAGCCTATGAGAAATCGGACTCTATGACTCTCCACAAGTTGTCCTTCAGGTCGTTATCTTTGTAATGTTTGTGTCTTTTATCAAAAATCACTCTGTTCTCCAACACGTAAACAATCAGCCGGTCGGCCATGTTGGATATACCGGTGAATCTGACGTTGCAACAACACGAAATCTGATTTGTCAGAAGTGGACACACAGTATGCAAAACTTTAGAAAAATCGACCATGATCCACAGGACGGGAAAACATCGCTGATGTGAACGCTTGTATTGACAGGATACGGGTTCGAAAAAAAAAAATATTGACATCCAAAATAATCGCACGATAAAAACGGTCCCGGTGTGTAAGGACCTTAACCCTGACCCTAACCACTGTGGAGAAAGCCATCCTATCTTATCCTGCCATTGTATATCATTAAAAGTCATCAGTATGGATTTCAGTCTATTTCATAAATGATAAAAAAAATTACTCATAGAGGCTTTAAGAAAGTAAGCTGGTTTTTAACCCTTTAATGCCTGAAACCACAAATTATGGCAAGAAAAATTCAAAAATTTTTGAAGCAGAAATGTTAATTTCATTCATGACTAAAAAAACCCAAAATCGAAATGTCCTTAAAATTTGACAAAAAAATTGAGCTGGTTTGATACATGAGATGTTTTTGGAAACTGATAAACCACAAGAGGACATTTTTATCATTTATTGGACTGTATTCAGGTGTTTTTTTAGTAATTTGTTGCTCATATTGATTTGATAGAAAGTATGTATCAAATATGATACAAAAGGCATTATGGGGCACATTGGCAATGCCTTTTAATACAGCCAATGTTAAATAACAATTAACGATGGAGAAACTATATTAGCTTTTCAAAATGTCCTGTTATGATCTGATACCAGATCCTGTAAGCTGGAAAAAATAATTCTACAATGACTTAATAAGAGGAGGTTGTATGAGAGCTTAAAATATTTCACAATGAGGCAAAACATGTGTCTTACTGTTTCTCATTGCCGTGATTAAAAGGCAGATCATGTGCGACAATCAGCTCTGATGTATTAGTCTGAATTTATAAAGAACCGTTCCTGCCAATTTCCAGCTTGCAGGTGTTGCATAATCACCACCGTCGACCCTTCAGAGCACATGTCAAACAGCATGAAAGGTCATTCAGCCTTTTGTAATATGCATTATTACACATGTTGCAGGCTCATTGGCACACAGCAGCCATCAGCAAGTGAGGCCAGCAGTCACATCAGAGGCAAAGCAGCTGCTCTGTGAGGGCTCTCTGCCACCACTCTGTCTCCCTGTTCCCCCCCTTTTCTTCTGGCTGAATGTAACTCTTTCATCAGAGCAGGCGATCTAAAAATATGTAATACCAGCTCTGGACGTTTGCCAGGCAGGGGAAAAGGGCTGAAATGACTGACAGGGAACAGCGTGACATTTAAAAGTGAATGACATCACACTGACAGGAAACATAATTTAACATCGCAGTTTTTCCCTTTGCCCGTTTCTAAAAAAGACGTGTGCCACGAGAGACTAACACAGATAAAGTGCCTTTGATTATTTGTGTTTAATTGACACGAGCTGTTTTTTTTTTCTTTTACTCCAAATCGCTGTCATGCTCCGCAAGCCAGTTATTTCGACTCTAAAAAACAGATAACCAGGGTTGTTTTTACAAGCGCAGGTCTTGCAAAGAGTCAGAGTAGCTTTTATGTCCTTGATCAGCCCCCTTTCTGCAATGTCCCAGGCCTGTGTTGTGTGTTTGACAGATGAGACGACACACTTTGAGGCTCACATGCAAATGCAAAAAACCCCCTTCGCTACTATTCCCTGCTTCCTCCGCTCTGTGCAGTTTTCATGCATCTTAAAACAACAGCAGCTCTGCTCTGTGAGAAGTCATTTTGCATTTCAATAAAGTATCACTTTCTTTTTTTGGGCGGCTGCACAGGACCAATCTTAAGGCCTCCTTGTGTGACACGCTGTCAGAACCCGCCAGCTATATTTCATGAATTTCTGCGCTTCTGTTTGTCATGGACAGTGCTTTTTTTAAAACAGAAATGCATACTTTTGCTTGTAACTGGTTTTGATCCCCCTTCTCCAACATCGCATGCAGCCCGCGAGTGCAAACTCAGAATACACACGAGGTTTTTTTAAGGGAAAATCTTGTGTGTTTAATCCCGTTGTCTTGACACTTTTGGTATGCTCGACATGAAGTTCAGATTTTCACTGAAGCTGTTTTTAATTGTTTACAGCATCACACAAGTCCTCTGCATTTTTCTTCTTGCCTGAAAACAAATTTCTCTCGCGGTTTATCGAGCAATATGTCACTCACTTTCACCTCGGCATTTATGTCTAGAATAACAACCGTACTTCGAGGACTTCTGATGTTTTCGCGGAAAGCAGTGGGGGAAAAAAATAGTCACTCAATTTGACACCACGCAGTCACACGTTTTTGTGCCTCTCACTGTCTTCCATCTGCATTAATTTGACATTCTCTAATCTGCCGCTCCCATTTCCCGGCAGCGGCGGAACTGCTGTACAGCCTGCTGGCTTGGATGTCTGCACAGAGAGGGAGCATACACGAAGGAAGTGGAGCCTATTATGGGTCACCTTGGATGCATTTCCCATTAAAAGGTGACAGGCACGCTGCTCTGGAACAAGGACTGCTGCTGGTTTGAAGATCCGGGCCCGCTGTCTCTTGTAAATGACTTAGGCTTCAAAATAATTAAGCACAGATAATAGAGAGTTTGAAGGAATGGATGGGAATCTGACATAGAGCTTGAGCTTGTAGAGAGTAACCACATGCAACACTTAGCAGGCTAGATTACACGGCATTGTTGCATACTCAACTCTGATTGGCTAATTACCGCATTCCAAGGTCTGCTATTTCTTCATAGCGGGCTGCAAATCCAATCACAGGCTCTCAGTGACTAATTTCAATCACGTCAATCCACCGAAAGACGTCAGGAAAATTTGCCGTCGGTCTGTTTACTGTGGGGAGAAGAAAAAGAGATGAAAACAGCGGAGGGAAATACAAGACAGGTTTTGACACACAAAAGAGCTGTAGGCTATAGCGGAGAAATCGACTAAATTGAGGACGGCACATGAAGTAAACACCAAGCAGAACATGAGATGGGACGTTTAGAGGATGTGAATAGATGAGAAAACGTCATCGCGTTTTGACATTGACAGGGCAGAAAACCTCGGTCACTATTCCTCCAGGCGCTTGTAAGATCCTGGTCACCTTGTCTCACTTCAACATCGATGAAAATATTCAGTTATATGTGAGAAATAACAGTTTAGACAACTGAAGGCACTGGAGGTTTCTGTTGCGACGGAAACAGTTGTGATGGTAGTTGTTAAAAAATATGATAATCCCATCGCCAATAGATTTCTTTACTTGAAAACTATCCGATAAGTGGGGCAAAGTTAGCATGAAGCTTTCTTAAAAGGCTGACAAACTTGGCTGGTATTAGACGCATTAAACTGAGCCGTTCCCCTGATAGTGAAGTAAGGCAAGGTGAACAGGTCAACAGCACCAGATGGAGTTTTTCTGCCTTGTCACAATCAGAGTCTATACTCATTTTCCTTTTTAAACTCATCATCTTTAAACTCCACTTTACCCCATACTGTGTCCCGCTTGATTGATCTTTCTTCAGTCGAGTTGGTTCTTCAGTTTTTTGGTCTACAGCTTATGTATCTTTCAGCTTTCACCGGCAATTCCTCTGCCAGTTTCAACTTTCTTCTCTTAAGTCTGTGATGTTAAGTTAAGTCGTATACTGTAAGTGTGGTGAGTGTTCCTCATAGCAACAGTCTGCTACATAAAGGTATATTAGGTGGTCATGCAAATTGGAGTCACAACAGAGAGTGGAAGACCCAGACAGGAATTAAAAGAGTTTATCTCAGCCAGAAAACATCCTCACCTGCTGTAACAAACCGCGCACATTCACTTTAATGTTTATTATCTAAAAAAAACCACATGGTCATACCTTAAGTTCATGATAGCACTCTTTCATGCTGGTTGCCACATGTCGTGAAACAGGACAGAAGAAGAAGAAGAACCAGACTTCCATAGAGAGAGCTAAAGAAGTCCTCAGAGAGATGAATCTTCACTTTTAAAACTGATGTTGAAGATTTAGGTAACACTTTAAAATAACCATAACTTATAAATGGTAAGCAGATAGTTTATTAATGTTTAATCATCATTTATAAATAGCATGTAGACTATTAATAAATTGTAAATTTTACAATTTTAAAAACCTAACCCTAACCCTAAAGGTCCTTATACTCCGGTGCCAACGCGGATATAGAACGCGAAATTACAAAATATTCAGAGGCGAATTTTGACACACCTGACTATACACATCAAGCCTGATGCGATTTTGCGACTTTCCGAGGGGGAAAAGACGCATCCTGGGGAAGACTTTTCCCGGGTAAAGTCCCACCTCCTTCGCCTCTGATTGGCTAGAAAAGCTGGAAATGTCATCACACGCTCAAGCAAAACGGTCAGCACTTACAGCCAATCAGAGGTGATAAGATAAGCACATAAAACTATGGTAACAACCGTTAGCTTATGTTAGCACAGATGTAATGTGCAGTAAGTTGATTGCATCCTAATGGTTTAAGTTACTAACCCTAACCCTAACTTATATCTGTGTCTGTGAAATGTCATTATTTCCAGACTTTCAATACCAACTTGAGGCAATGAGAAAAGTTTCTTACCAGGGAAATGTGCCTGACTATGTTCTGAGTGTCAAATTGTGCAAGATGTCGAACGGCTGTTGGGATATTTGACTTATAAACCAAAAGAGAATGTCACATGGTGGTGTTGGAAAAGTCAGAATCACCAGATTTAACAGAATTTTTCATTTTCACCTTGAAGAATTTGTGTTTTCAGTCTAGACTAGCAATGGTCTGAGGGATGCCGTTGCCGTGGGTTACAGGCTGCTAACATCTGTGCCTGGTAACTATCATTAATAGTATTTTAGAAACTTAGATTTTTACTACATTGTCAACAGGCGGGGAAGAAATGTGCTGGACTCCTTTCTGCAGATCAGTTTGTCAGGTCGTCCCTGGTGCTGCTCATGATGTTGAGAATCATCCACTGTTGTCATGGAGTTTTGACCAATCAGAAACAAGTATTTAACACATCCAGGTATTGAGTAAGAAAGCCAGAACTTGAATCAATCACAATACAAAGCTAATACACCATAACAACCTCCTCATTGTATATTATCTCTTCTATTTTGTCTCAAAGCACTTAAATGATGTGTGTGTTAGTCAGTGAAGTCTCCACATAATGCCACCGGCTGCCAATCACTGCAACCCTGAGCCCCGGGGGAGAGACAGTTACTCGCTAAATTGAGTCCCCCAGGCTTTCCATTTGGTTGATATATGGCGCGAAACAGTGACTACTCTCCTTGCTTACCTTTCACTCATATGCTGCATGTGTTAAGCACCCATATTTCATTCAGATTAGATTTCAACAAAATGATAGATTGGCTCTGAATCCCTCTTCATGGATATTGTCATGTACACATTGTGTCAAAACGTCTCAAACAGATGGCAGAGAAATGTTTCCATTCAGATGGTATACTTGCTGCCAGCGTCTCCAGAGACATGCGCACAGTCTGGGCTCATTACGGAAGACAGCCAGTCATTGCATACTTATTGCATGGTGACATCTCTATTGAGATAGACTGACCATTTTCCCGGGTGCTATGGCTATTTCATCACGTTGGAAGAAGCATTTACAGGTCCCGTGTGAACTCTACTCACAATCATTAGCGCAGGGAGAACAGAAGACCCATTGAAATACACAATCAGCACAATACTCATTCATGTCACGCACAATTTACCAGAATTCGCTTTCATCCAGGCTCGCTGTCCATAACTCATTGGATTCTGATGCGGTTTTGTTGGTTTTCGAGCATGATTCATCGTGCCGCTCTCCATCCAGGGACTTAGACGCCGGTGCCCCTGCCAGGTGTTGTCGTTTGTGTGGATAATAACGGATCGCTTTGACAGATTTTCATGTGACGTACCCGAACAAAGCAGATCTCCCGCTGAGAGAAGTTGTGCGAGAGCCAGAGGGTTTGTTAGGTTTCACGAAGCTTTTTTACTTTTACTGTTTTAAAGCAACTGTCAATATGCTGTTGCATCTTTATTTGAACGTGACTTTAAGTTACTTAACTACAGACAAAAATAGAACAGAGGAAGTAAAGTATGAGTATAAAAGTATGAAAAGTTGATTTTTTTGTGATATATTTCAATACAAACGACAAAATATCTTAATAAGTCAAGAAAAGCAAGTGAGGAAACAAGGTTAGATCTTTGGTTTTAATGCTGAGCAGGTTTTGACCATATATGAAAATGGGCAAGCGGGCCCTGACATCCCAGCCTGGCAGGATCAGTTTGGAAGAGGGTACTCAGACTGGCAAGAGGATCTTCAGCATCAACATCCGCCCCTTGATACACAATTAACTAAAACAACATAATAGCAAGCCAAGTTTTTCAGACGTTCTTGGTTTTGGACAATTTAATCCTTGAAGCGCTGAAGCCTGTTTATACTAAATACCTGATAGGAATACAAATACAGATACAAGCTGTGCATTCAGCCCTCGCTCTGTGTTAAGACTGGCTGATTTTAGTTTTAACTAAGTTTACGGCTCTTCACAATGAAAGTTTACGAGATGATCCAAGGTCGAACAATCAGTACGTCATTGATCCGTTGGCCTCAGAGGAGAAGTCAAGGTCGTGACTCGGTCAGAGGTGTTGTTTTGGCTTCAGTCTTATTAAGTCGTCTATATTTTTATGCAGTTTTTGATTGACTCATATAATGAAATAGGCTCGTTTGGTGACGATCTTACGTTCAGGTTGTAGATTGAAATGCAACCCGCCCCTTTCCATCAGTGAAAAACAATGGCAGCCTTTGTGGAAAGACACTCATTTGAGGAATTAAAAGTTTGATTCTGCATTTTTACTATGAAAAAAATCAATCAATACAAAGTCTAGTAACTGTTAAATGAAAAAAAAATTTATACCCTAGTTTTATCATATTCATTCTGCTAAATGTCAAAAACTATGCTATAAAATATAGTATGTGTTTATAAAGACGTTTAATATATGCAGAATATGTCTGTTGTGGTTTATTGCTTGTAAAATAGCGTATAAGCTGTGCAGTGTCACATTCACATTGTAAAAAAAGAAATAAAAGGTTACCATATGTCAGAAATTTTATCCCAACAATAAAAAGCTCCATAATTGTGAGAGCAAGAAAGACAATGCTGTGAGCTTTCTATAGCTGCAGCTGATGAGAAACCCAGCGACAGGCTGACTATTCAGTCGATAATGACTTGTACTGTGGTATGTTATTCATCCTTGACCTTGAAAACAATCGTCGCGTAAACAACCCCACCTCTAAGGTTTAATTGTGACACTTTCTGCTTTTACTTAAGGCTGAGTGCTGACTTCTCCCAACTCTGCATTTACAATTCAAATGATTGTTTTTCTGAGTGAAAAATATATACAGCGGTGATGTCGTTATGAAATCAGCCTCACCACTGGGTCCACTTAGTCGCTGGAGGTCTGGGACTTTCGGTCATGTCACATTATCCTCATCAGCACACCCATTTGAAATGCAGAAATGCTCTGTCACATATGGAAGTCCTTAAAATGGTGAAGTTCTCATTAAACATTTCTAAAACAGTGAGTGGTTTTGTGTTATTACACGTGGCATTGGATTGAAATATTCATGTATTATAAATGTAAGAATTATGCTACTGTTGCAGCTAATTACGGTGAAGTTTGGTTGCAGTTACACCTCAAACCAGCAGCCTTGATGAGGTCATGATCATAAAAGGCAATGCAGGCCATACTTGTGTAGGTTGCTGAGATAGGATCCAAATCTGACTACACTTAAAGGTCCTGTGAGTAATTTTCAGTTTGTACCAGTTTTGGCGCCCCCTGTGGAGAAAGCTTTCTTCTGAGGCCTCACTTGCAGCATTCTCTTGCATTAAAATGAGTATATAACATAAAAATTAACCAGTAGTAATTTCAGTCTGTTTCATAAATGTTAAAAGAAAACTCATCACAGGAGCTTTAAGTTGAATTAGTAAAGACTCAAGTTAAAAGTTAAAAGATACTGATTCTTGAAAGCAATAAACGCCAGCATTAAAAAAAGTCTTCTCTAACATGTACTGGAGTTATTCCTCTCAGCAGTGGTTGCAAGAATTCATGAAGTGCCGAAGAAGTTTGTTTTAAAAGAAAAGAAATGTTGACATTTGAAGCCTCTGTAATGATCAGGTTTAGTTCCCTGATAAACAGCGACGCTCAGTCTGCTGATGAAGAACCATGCGGTGAGATCCAGATCTGTTGTTTCAGTCAAAGTAGAAGTAGCTCTCTTAAAGTTCACCATAACCTTTATCTCCTGAATAAAGTTAACATAAAAAGTACACATAATGTTTTAATATCATGTATATTTGATTGTTGTTTAATACAAGCAGCTCTAGACTCGTAAAAAAGGATTTCCATGTTGTAGCTGGTCCAGGTGGAGTTAAACTAAATATCTTATACAGTCTTGAATAGTTTATTCAGTAACAGTAAATCATAATTTGAGTTTATTTTATTCTTCTGTGAATGTACAGTCCTACCTTTGCTCTTTAACTAGCTGCTATAGCTGCCAGATTGATCAAACGGAGAAAGAAGTCAAACATTTCTGACGAAACAGGCGTGTCAAGAGGTCAAAGTAATGAGACTCAGGTAACTTGGTTCCTTTAGAGCATGTATTGTGAAAACCAAGGGCAGATACTGATATTTTTATAACCGCTTCATAATACGTCTTGTCTGTCTGATTTGAGATATCAAAACATTTGCTGGTTGCCTCTCCTCTTGAAATGTCACTGGAATATATCCTTCAAACCTCAGAAAAGGCACCATAACCTCAGACGGACGACTTTTTCTTTAAAGTTAGATGGTGAAAAAGAATCAGTTTCTGTTCGGCGATGACTCGAGTTTGTCAAAAAGGGCAAAGATAGGCTGATACCACCTGTAAGGTCGCATATCGGCGCTCAAAATGTTACACGGAGAGCTTCACCATCTAGAGTTTGAAAGAAACTCCCTCCCTCAGGAAACTCTTTGGGAAATTTAGGATATAAGGTTTAACATTCAATCTTTTAGAAAGCCCAAAAGGTGGCAAAGTTTCAGCCTCCAATTCAGATGAGTGCAAGATTCTACTTTGTAACACTGTAACCTTAAATATTAAAGACAAGAGATTTTCCAAAATAAATATTTAATCATTTGTGTGTACTATTTGTTGTGTTTCTTTAATGAACATGCAACTCCATTAACCCCATTTATACGTATTCATACACATGGGGGTGCATCATCTGTTTAAAGTGTAATATTTATAGGGCAATGATGAGCTCAGGAGTAAACAAGAGGAGCTGACAGACTGCAGCAAATCTTTTTTTATTTTTGGCAAACAGAACACGCCAACAAAAGAATCTCAGCTCATGAAATAAATCAACTTTTGAAACCTCAAAATCACCATCCTCGGAAACATGACAGACTCTCCACCCTGTAAAGCGAAATAAAGTTCTGACTTTCCCAGTTCTTTTAAGACCTAAAGTGCCCTGGTCAACTCGTTTCCCTGACAGCCATTCACTCCCCCGCCTCACAGTAATAAAGAGTTGGAAGCACGCAGCATGGAAACAAAAACAAGGCAGTTCCAGTTGAGACCCTCTGCCTCTGCGCAACCTCTGACCCGCCGAATGACAATTTCTGTGTGACCCTTGTTCCCTGTCAATCAATATGTTCTTGGAGAGAGCGAGAAAAACACACGCTCACGCACACACGCACGCACGGTCTCTGCAGCCGTTTGTCCTGTGGCGGGCTGGCTTTGTTCATAGTCGCTGATAATGGGGAGAAAATGGAAATACAGAAAACAATTATACCCTTGCATGGCTCCAGCCTTCACCTGATGAGAGCGTTCATCTCCAGCCATGTTATTCTCCGTCTCCCTCTGAAATATTTATAAGCAAAGACGGGGTCTCGGAGCGTGCGGCGTGTTGTTCTGGCAGGTTGAAACCATGGGCGAACGTAAAGAGCGCTCGTCAGTGTTGCATAGCTTTTGTTTAAAGGTACCCAGCACACCTGCCAGCTGGAAATACCACACTGATTTGCATTTTTATTTGATTTTAATATATTCTTCTGAGGTGATGATTTTCCAAATATAGAGCATCCCGACTCTTTCCTCTGTTTGCTAGCAACGAGCGATGCAAGTTAATTCTGTTGAGTGGTGTGTTTTTAATAGATCAAAGAGGAAATCTGGGGCTGTCTTATGCAATTAAGGAGACGCATTAAGAAGAACAAACCCCTGTGGGCTGTTGTTTTCAAATGATGCCCCACTGCTTCCACTGGTACATCACGATTAACGTTGTGCAGACATGCCCTTTTGTTGAGTGCATCAGACAGCAGAGAAACATTCTCCCAGACCGGCTACAAAATCTGGATATTTTTCAGTAAAACCAAAGGCTGTTGATGCTTTCTAAAATTCAGAGCCTGGAGTCAAGATAAGCCCAAGAACTCCGCAGACTTGGCAGAAGGGAAGAGAAAACACAAGCTTTCTTAATACTTGCCTCACTCCGGATTAAAAATTGGCTGTTAATTTCCTCAAACTTATTTATCCAATCAACGCCCTGACAATAGTTGTGCGCATTAATATTCGTTGTTGTGCTCAGCGGGAAGCAGGTACCGCACAAAAAACCACCGGGGAGAAACACTGAAACCTGAAGAGAAGAGAAGAGCAACCAGTTTATCAAATTTTAATTCTGGCATCTCTTGTGGTTTCTTTACACCCTGGAGAGGATTTTTTTTTTTTTTTTTTTTATAATGTGATGTGGCAGAAACCAGAAACCAGAGCGTGAGACGAGCCCACTGATCTGCTTCTTTCCAGCGGGTCAAGTGGGGCTGTGTTGGTAATCCCCACAGGAGCTCACATGATGGCTCAATTATATCCAGAAACTGACACACAGCTTTCTGTCTCACTGTCACTTAAGAATTTAAGCTACTTTAGGGCTCAGTTTGGCTGTTTTGTAATAGTGGGCTGAATAGATATTCACTATGACACAACTATCACCACAATGGCACGTACTTTTTTTTCTTGTATATTCTGCATCTACATTATTTTAATGGCAAATACCTGCTGAAATTTTAGATTCAGAACTTAACTACAACAACTTACAAACATTTTAAAACTTCTTACTGGAGTTTGTTGTTAAAGATTGGATATTTTCAATTAATCTACTACTAATACTCATAACATGCAGCTCTACTAATGTGATTTATCTTCTTGTTTGCACCTAATGTGGTATCCAATATGTTGGCTATAATGAACATAAAAGCTGTATTCGTGAGGCTGACCCCAACCAAGTCAGCCGGGCACTTTTAAGATGGCAACCACCCTCTATCTGACCTAGCATCCTGTGGCACTGATATGATGTTTCCCAAATGTCATGGTGGAAATATAGATGGGTTTCTGTGCAACGTCCTCGCAGGTGTGCGCGCGCAGGCTTGGGGCAGAAAGTGGGACAATTCTTATTTGTTTACTAGCGGAGTCAACAGATAAAGAAAATGACAAGGAGCTGTTGTGCTGTAAACTGCACGAATCGGCAAAACAATCACCAAACATTACGACCCTGCTCCTGATATTAGAAACATCTAAAACAACGTCACAACCTGGTGAATTGAGTGGAATTCATGGATATTTCAGCAAGTGTTTTTCTGATTTTGATGCAATGAAGCGATTTTTCAATGAAATGATATTTTTTGCAAATGTGTCAGGGAAAACTTGCAAACAATACGGCACCTTCATTGATATAAGTTCACACTGAAGCAGGCTTTTGCCCCTGGTTGTGCGCGCACCTAGTATTGTTTGTATACAAGAAACCTGTCTATTGATCAAACACTTCTACAAAGTGAATGTAAATACATTTATTATCTTAAAACACTTTATCCCTTTGGTTTAAATGACGAATTAGAAAGGGTTTGCTTTTTGTGAGTGTGTCTGTTTGCGCTCGCTAACCACATTTCCAGTCCATATGTATCCATTGATATAAATATTACTTGTAGGTCCCTGGCTTATGTATGTAAATAAAATAGAACAGAATATTCTATATTTCAGACTCAGGGTCCTTAGTGAGTCACTTGGATTGGTTTTGTATCGTCACGTGTGACAATGCATCTTGGGCCACACCCTGGCTCAATTACCTGCTCTGTTTAAGAGGCTCCAGGTGTGTCCAATCAAGGGCTCCAATCAAGGGCTCCGGGTGTGTTCAATCAAGGACTCCAGGTGTGTCCAATTAAGCTCTCCAGCCTCAGACAGACCTCTCACTATTGCACTCACGATGGTTGATTGAGACTGAAACATTTGCTGCTTATTTGTTTGACCCTAGTACTAAAATAGATCCAACTTTTTAAGACATTGGTCTTTTCCGTATTTCTGTGTGTGAGTCCTCTACAGCCCTTTCAAATAATCCGATCTGACCACTGCACCAGAAGCAAGAATACTGATGTTAGGCACGCAGCTCTTTTCAGCCGTGGAGCTAAAATTCTGATGCATTTGAAAACGACTGCAGTAAAATTTATTGTCAGTTACTCTTCAGACTCCTTTTAATCCTCCTGCAGATCATCCGCAGCTGGTGTTTGAACAGTTAAAAAATGCTTGAGCAGCACAGCTGAAATCATTTGGAGATTAATATCTATCACTGTGTTGTAAACTTCATTACCTGGCTTTCATACCAATTACCCAGCTGGATTAAATACTCAATTCTGACAAGTAAAAAGTCATTATTTACTCTACAAGTGACAGTAAGAAGAACCTGAAAACAAATGTGACATAATGGATCAGTAAGTGCGAAAGAGTCCAGCACAATTCACCTCTGCTTGTTGACATTGTGGCTAAATGCTTTTTAACCCAATGACATCAAATTAGTTGCAGCACAGCTGTAAAGGCAATTTTGCGAACTACTGAATCCCAAAGTAGAGCAAGAACCCGTCCTGACCCTGTTTTGGGAAACACGTCTTGCATATCCTGCTCAGGCTCTAATTTGCATAACCACTTTTTTCACATAAAATCACAATAAATGATAAATTTTCACTGTCAGAAAGAGTCAGAATAATGAGGTCTCTCTTCCAACACTACTCAGGCATAGAGGACAAGATCAGCAAAGACTGTTCTGTCCACAGGGGGCGCCAAACTGACACAAATTAAAGGCTTTTAGATAGATAAAATCATTCACTGGCTAGTTTTAAACTCATAATGAAGTTTAAGAGAATTTCTTATCAGATTATTATTTCCCAGATGAGGGTTAGGGTTAGGGTAATTAGGGTTGGGGTTAGGGTTAGGGTTAGGGTAATTATGGTTAGGGTTAGGGTAATTATGGTTGGGGTTAGGGTTATTAGGGTTAGGATTAGGGTTAGTGTTATTAGGGTTAGGGTTTGATTATTATTTACCAGATGAGGGTTAGGGTTATTAGCATTAGGGTGAGATTATTATTTACAAGATAAGGGTTAGGGTTAGGGTTCCGGTTAGATTCTTATTTCCCAGATTAGGGTTAGGGTTAGGGTTATTAGGGTTAGGGTTAGATTATTATTTCCTAGATGAGGGTTAGGGTTCGGGTTCCGGTTAGATTATTATTTCCCAGATAAGGATTAGGGTTAGGGTTATAAGGGTTAGGGTTAGATTATTATTTCCCAGATGATAAAACATGAATGCAGAGGCATGGTAGGCATTTTGTATTTTCTGTGGTGTCTTTTAAAACTGCACAAAATATTAATTTAAGTCTAAATCTAAAAGTTCTTCAGATGGCCAGTCAAGAGCCAGTAAGATTTTGCTTCAGCACCTTGACTAGGGTTAGGGCTTTATTCCATATATAAGTGGAACCATGTTGGCCCAAATGTAGTACAACCTTTGATTATGAGATGACTTGCCTTTTCTTAACTTGTTTTCTGTTTTTTTTTCTTACCAAAACACAAAGTTTGAAAACTAAATTTCTATTATAAAAGGAAAGTTATTGAACTGGTAACAACCAAAACAATCCCACTAAATGTCTTTTTTAAGATTAAACTGTCAAAGGAATGATCATGTCCGTAAATGAAGCACCCTTGGTATTCGTGTTTTGACGCCACTATGATTAAGATAGCCTGCAGTCTTGCAGGATGGATGATGGGTTTGCTGACAGCTTGATCAGTTTTCATAAACATACTCACGTGAATTTTTTAAGACAATCTTTTTTAGCTTGCTGTCTTAAAAAATTACAGACCGTGAAACAAAGTTTCTTCACCATTTGACAGTTTTTTAGTTGCTCGGCTGCACTGATAACCAAATCCACTTTAGTTTTCATAAACAGGTTTTTCATAAACTTGTCCCAGTTTGAGATATTTTGTTGCTGTGTTTTCTCATCTCTTGTCTCTCTGGCATTTCAGCGGTGAGTCACAGCTGGCCTCGGCCATGACATGAGAGGTGCACTCACTTTACAGATGAGTGGCATCATCTCTGTTGTGACAAATATTGATATTAGATTACTCAACCTTGATTACAAGACAATCCCACTTGTTCCAGATGTGATCTAACACAAATATAAAGGTCTATACAGTATATACTGAGAATAAAAGTTATTTTTATATTTATTTTAGCTGCTGGGAAGAGGATGGGAAAAACCAGCAACACCCACTGTTTTACACTTTTGAATTTAGTTGTAATCAGAGGATCGATTAATAAACAATTTCTTTAGCTTTTAGGTGCTTTTGAGTTGACAAATGTTATTTCGCATTAGGATGTAAGACAGAAAAACTGAACTTCCTTACATCCATTTTGGCTTATATGATCAGCTGATTGTCACAAAGTTGTTTTGGATCCATGAATAGGTCAATAATTTGCAGCTCTATTTAAAATTATGATTATATAACATATAACACATGATTAAACTTCAGTCCAGTCAAGTGTAAACACTTTAAATCAGTTTGTTTTCTGCGCCAAAGAAAAGGCACGTAAGGTACCATGGTTACTGACAAATAAAAATGTCTTTTTCCAGCCGTGTTGAACCGTGTGTTATTGTTTTTATTCTGCTTCAAATGCTAATTAGAGTATGTTGAAACACAGACTAATTTAGTGTCACAGTTTGACTTCCATAATGATTGAATTATGCCTACCGGCCCTGAAGTAATGCGATGCTGTTAACTGCAGCAGGTTTTCTCTTAAGATTATGTCCACAGTCGCACTAAAGCCTCTAAGAAGCTGCTCTTTCTGCATTAGAGAGACCTCAAAAAACTAAAAATATTCAAATGCAGCAAAGCGACACATGCAAATGTTTCCATGACACATTCCACAAACCCACAGCTCATTGTCAAACATTACTTCAAATCACTTTGCCTGCAAAATGCATGATACCCGGCTCCTCTCTCTCTCTCTCTCTCTGCTCTTTCTCTGTACAACCTCCTTGATCTTGTGTCACGCTGACGGGTGTAATTGTCAGATGGCCCTCGCTGCATAGCTCTCATGTGTGGAGAGGCTGAGCGCGGTAGGTGGGAGAGGCCAGCGGTTGAGGTGGGTCGAGGTTGCCGGTCCAGTCCTCTCATCCTTTGGGCATCAGCCGCGAGTTTGGTGATAATTGCATGGTGGAGTCGGTGTTCATATTCATGATAGCCCTGAAGCAGACCTCTCCTCCTGCGACTGGATGTCTTTTTTCACACATCTCCTCATCTTTATCATTTTACATTCAATGAGCTACAGGGGCTTCGTTCACAGAGTGCGTGGAAAGGACAATTATTCTTGTTTACAGCAAACTTGTGTGATAGTTTACAGTTGTTTTACTGCATGGAATAAAACATGTAGAATTTATGAATCTGAATGGCTTCGATTCAGTGAGAGATGATGCACGAATCATTGAGCTTAGTACATTTAAACGTTATGAGCAGTCCAGGGGTTGTAAAGCATGCTATACAACTTGAGGGAGGTGTCGCATGTTAAAGAGAAGAGCAGCCTGCAGAGAACATTTCTTATCTAATAAAATTCTTGTAAAATTCAATGAAATTCCCACTTTGTCTGCCAGCAGTTCATTCTGTGTGTGCTGGGGGGAAAAAATCTGTCACTCCAACCAGAGAATGAGCCCATCCAACCCCATTTTTATGGCTGAATTTTCTATTAATTTGTGTTATTTTATATTTTATTTTTACACCATGCAGCTCAAATATTTTCTCGTAATTATGATGAAGATTCTTTTAAAAGTCACCCTCTCCCCGTGGTGTGTATTTTCTCCAAATATTAAAGGATGATTCTCTGCAGCAGCAGGTACACACAGTTCAGCACTGTTTCATATCAAGTGCTGGAGGAGATTTAGGCTTACAGCTACTGGTAGAGCATTAATCCCTTTTTCACCCAAGCTAAAATTAGTACAATCAGTAGTGCACGCATTTCCTTTGCATTTGGGGGAAAAAAGGGAGTATAGTTTGCTTTGCAGGATAGATGAAAAACATCAACTATAGCAGCTAAACCTTGATCTGGTTGTTTGGTCCTCTGGCTTGCACAGTGCCTCATGTCTGTAAAGACCTGGCTCTGTGAATGGAAAACAAACAAGGTCACAAACAACGTGATTCCAGCCAATCAATAGCACTGACTGTGCCCTCTGACCTCTGCCTCCTCCTCTACCTCTATGTCTCACAATGGACATATAAAAAGATGGATGTCATGTCAGCTAAAGACCTGGAGCTCTCCCTTTTGGCTGGCTGCTGTAATAGTCATAAGGCTCATCGAAGGCAAATCGAAGAGTCAAAGCAAATGTTTCTCACGTGTTGTTTTTGATATTATAGTTAGCTTTCATCATGCTGATTTAATTAATGAAAAATCTAGTTACTCGAAGCTCAATACTGGGTTTAACCATAGACTGTATATAGAATGGACGCCGTCTGCCTCCTCACTGGGTGAAGCCACTCCGAGAACAGCACCCTACAGTATAGGTCATAAATCCCGCCTCCTCCAGCAAAGTTTATGGGGATGTGGACAAACTTTAGAAATTAATTACACAGAATAATTTTAATAATCCCCCCCCGGTTGCGATGTTGACATGTAGTTATTGTAAGACTGGTTTGTGCTCAAGTCCTCTTTTTTCTGTGCAGCTCCATTTTTAAAAGTTATTAGGGGGTTCATGTTTTCTATGATTAACACTTGATACAGCCTATGGGAGTACAAAGATTGCAAAGCTCACCTGGGGGAAACATTGTCTGAGCCAAGCATCATTACACCCACAGAATGCGTACAACGCTACTGCGCAACGTTGGTTTCAAGAAATGGAGAAAAATCACAAAAAATACAGAGAGCTATTTGGCTTCAAATCTGTATATTGGCGGAAGGCGGAACCAAGTTGAAGATAGTATATACAGTCTATGGTTATAACATGAAGACTGAATCATCTGTTGGCATCTATTTTGGTAGAAACACCAACAAACAAGTCATTTCCGTAACCGAAACTGTTGGCTTCAAACTGATCAAAAACTCAATCAGAAAGTAATCTCTCTTTTCCGTGAATCTGTTTACTAAGATGTTAGCTTGGAAATGTATGAGTTAGGATCTTGTAACTGTCATGATGTGTTCTGTAAATGTACTTTTTTCCTGGTTTTGTTTATCGAGTGCAGACATTGATTTTCCCTAGTGTTCCTGTTCCCCTGCAGTCCAGTTTTGTGAGTTTTCAGTTTGTGTTTTACCCCATTTTCCTTCAGTTAGGTTAGTTTTCAGTGTTTCCTGTTTCATTTTGTTGTAGTTGATTCCTTGTGTTTCTAGTCTGGTTTTACTCCCCTAGTTTTCCCTCCTTTGTTCATCAGTTAACGACTTTCACCTGTGTCTCGTTAGCCTCACCTGTTGCTCGTTACCCTGCGCTCCAAGGCACTGAAAATGTTTCTACCAAGTTTTAGTCCATTTGTAGTGCAATATGGATCCTTGCGTCCGACCATTCATATTTTTATGAGTGGAAATGAGGTATCAGGCAGCAGATGCTCTTAATCCTGTCATGTTGCTTATTATTCGAAAGTTAAAGTAGCTCCCTGACATAAATTTAGTCGGGTAGAGCTTTTAAATGAGTGTAATAGAGAGAGGTTTGTTTGTGTGACTGCTGATGTACAATTTTTGTAATCTCCCTTAAGAATTTAATACCCCACATTTAACAAGAGAGGACAGAATAAAAATAAAAACACACTGCTGCACTTTATTGTCTCTGTTTGGACTTGGCTCCAGTTTGCTTTTCGTGACATGCTGGATGATATAAAAGCATGTGAGAAGTTTAGAGGGGGAAAGTGTCTCTTTGCTGGAACTTCAACAGCTCACAGACATCAGAAACATGACAATAAGCCTCAGGCTGACACTGTGTGAAAGGGTTTTAAGAGTCAATAGTTTAATCTTTAACAAAGCTTTTTAGAAGGCTCATCACGTTTATTCTTATGTTGGAAAATAACTGGGAACTACAGCTGTCTAAATAATTCAGCAAACATCTGAATTAGCAATTACTATTACTCTTTTTTGGCATTAATGGTACTTTCTTTAACGTCCAAAACTCTGACATATGCAGCCTTTCTGTTTGCAGAAAACAAACATAAAAAGCATAAAGTCTTTGCAGTGATGCAGCTGGCACCAAAACTACTTATGATTAATAAGACATCAGAGTAAGTGTCTATTAGCTTTAGGCTAGCCAACCTATCTATGTAAGAGCATTTACAACTCCTACTTGGATTTCTATCCAAAATGTGAAAAATTAAGAACATTTTAATTAGTTTTGGGCAGCTCTTTTACTCAACGGAGACATAAAAACAAGAAATTAATTAATAAAGAGAGCTAAATTTGGAGTAGGATCTAAAAATAACAGAAAGCTAATAAAGTGATGTGTGTTTATAATGAAGAACTCAAAGTAAAAGGACAGTATATGAAAATAGTACAGAACTAAAGCCATCTGTATGAAGGCTTTAGGTTGGCTTCAGCTCTGTTATCAGCCCTTTAATCCTTGACTTTCTTTTTTTGTTCTTCCTTTCAGAGGGGGGCACGTGTGAAGTGATCGCTGCTCACAGATGCTGCAATAAGAACCGTATTGAGGAGCGTTCACAGACAGTCAAGTGTTCTTGTCTGCCAGGGAAGGTGGCTGGGACCACCAGAAATAGACCTTCATGTGTTGACGGTGAGTATTTAAAAAGAAATTAATAAAAACAAGGTTTTTCTCAAAGAATGCATGAGGAAAAATATTAGTTTTGAATAAACTGTTTCCATTTTCATGAGAAATTCTTCTTGATATGGTCTGTGTTACACAAAAAGAGAAACACCTCCCAGACAAAACTGCAACGTTTGTAAAAAAAAAAAAATACTGAGGTTTGTACAAATAAAAGCCTGTCGCAGATAAGATTACCATTACTGGGGAAAGTGTCACTACCAAATTTGGTTCCTGCCAGTCAGCTGAATGTATCTTCAGGGGTAAGTTTTCCCCCGACCCCACACAGTCAAACATACCTCAGGCAAGGTGGAAGAAAAAGAATAACAAAGCACAAGGATGTGGAGGAAAATGGCTGTTGATTACATAGGAACCTTCAAGGTATTTCATGGTGTTTTTTGTGGGCTTTGACAAATGTCTGCTACCCGAGCTCAATCCCTTGTAAGAAATGGATTTGGCACCAGGTTCTGACACAACCAAAGCACATATTGGCTTTAGCAAAACCTCTCACCTGCAGCTTTTATCTTAAATCCTTTTGCAAATATTACTGCAATCTCTGAGCAGACTGGGGGAATTTGAGGTCTTTCGATGTCAGCTCTGACAGATTCTTTTCCTCCGTCACACATTACAAACCATTTACTGTCTACTTACCCTGTATTTAAGGCAATTTTCTTTTCTGACGGCGGAAATGTGGCGTGCATTAAAGTCAAGTCACAGTCACACCTACCCATCCACTCACTCATTGAAAAGCCTCAGTTCAACCCTCCGTATTCATCTGTGACTGCATGTTATAAAGAACCCTCAGCGGTCTTGTTTGAGCTACACATGTGACACGCCGAGGTTCACGCCACCTTTGACACGTACATTTAATTATCAGGATTAGACACTCTTTTCCAGTTTTACTTATTCACATGACAGCTATTCTTCTGCAGTGACAAACTTGGGGTTTGAGGCTAAATACTGTTATTATGTTGAGCTGCAGTATTCCAGGTTTTAAGCGAGTGTCTAACAGTCATCGCCATTTTACTGAAATAAATAAGTAAATGAAAGACCACCAATCGTGAAAGTGACATATGCTTAAGTACAACATAACGCATATTTAAAACAATTAGAATTAGCAGAATTACCACAATTCCTATTATTATTAAATTATGGCACATAGCACAAGAGGCCAGCTAATGTCTAAATGCTATCATTAGAAGTGTCTCGAACTGAGGGATGCGTAATCATTTCAGAGGCTTCTGCAGATACATCCTTATGTATCTACCAAGGTTGCATTGGTAGCATCCTTTTGATCTCATCTATCTAGTGATTAAATAGGCGCTAATTCGAGCAAAATGGTGGACCTTAAAGCGGCTGAAGGATATGCTTTTTACCGTCATGTAGATGTCAATGGGCCGGGAGTGAGTCTAGTCTTGCAATATGGGGCTCAGTCTTATCCCATCTTGACAATGACTCTTTGTAAATTGAGTATGGTCTAGACCAGCTCTTGCAACATGTTGTCTTTGTTGCTGCAAATCAATAGAAAGACGATCACAGATGATCAGATATCCAAGATTTAGTTGTTTTATGCTGCATGCAAGTTACCTCAGAAGTCAGATGTCCGAGCTGGGAATGACGTCACACCCGAGTTACCAGTTGCCAAGTTGGAAAAAAGTAAAATCGGAGACGGAAACGAGATGGCTACATCTACGAAAGGGGGTGCTAAAATAACTTTCGTAGGTGTAGCCATCTTGTTTCCGTTTATAATTTTGCTTTTTTCCGACTTGGTAACTGAAACGCTTGGAACTCAGGTGTGATGTCATTCCCAGCTTGGACATCTGACTTCCGTGGTAACTCAAATGCAGCATTATAGCCTCGAGAACAGCAGTATTTTCACATTACAGCACCCTGAGCATGACATCAGATAGAAATGGCCGTTTGTTTCGCCTGTCCTGTGATCATATGATCAATGATCACCTCTGTCCAAACTGCCAGGTCTCGGGATGTGGTTTTACACTCTGTTGGAGTGGGAGTTACCCGAATCACTATTTCTCTTCTGTTTTATTGCCGGTAGCATCCATAGTAATTGGGAAGTGGTGGTGTGAGATGGAGCCTTGCCTGGAGGGAGAGGAATGCAAGACGTTACCTGACAACTCAGGCTGGATGTGCTACGCGGGCAACAAGATCAAAACCACAAGGGTGAGATAACCTCTCTTGACCGCAGGAAACAAGTCATTATGGCAGAGCAGTGGGAGGGAAATATACAGCGCTGCCACATCAACAGAGAAGCGTAGTTATTGAAATTGTCTTTTGCTGCAAATTGACTTGTAACCAACGCAATCAAACTCTTTAATTTCCTTCTTCTTTTTTCTCAGAACACTCAGCCATACACGACATCGACATATTAACACTTAGAGGAAAAGATGCAAGGGAACGTCTCCGCTGCGGAGGTTAATCAGCAGGTTGGCAACTTCATTTATTCCTCTGATTTCAGTGTGCTAATTAATTTCTTTAAAGTGGTAAAACTGCTTAGCAATGTAAAAGAGCAAAAAAAAAAAAAAAACCACATCTGGTGTTAATTTCTGTGATTTTTACATCATCCCCAGTACTCTTTTTCTTCTTGTTTCAGCACTGTCACAGGACCAATTGTCACAAAGACAATGAACCTATTGTTGCTTTAAGAAACGTGAACACTTCTAAGATTAAAGTGTAAAAAGATGTAGAGTACATAAAGCACATCCCTGCCCGAGGCTACTGAAAATACTGACGCTCCAAGCTGCCTACGGGGGGAACTTCATCATAACCTTGTAATGAATATGTTTTCATCATTTCCTCCCAACTTTGAGATGGAAACGAGACTGTCTGTGCATTTGGATTATTATCTGGAGAGCGTCTGACGTGTCTTCTTCAGACATCAAGAGGACAGACATGCTCGACAAAGCAGCAAACAGGAGAGGAATACATCAAAAGACACAAGATGAGCGAGTACAGTAGTTGACAGCCCTCAGGATTTTCTTTTTTTAATATTGTCAGAGGAAAAATACTGTAAATAAATTGTTTGTCTTTCTTGTGTACATGAGCTTTATTTGAGGTGGTGAAGAAAAACGATCATTTGAGTCCCTGAATGCAGTCTCGATCTTCCCTCTGCTTCTTACCCACATAAACCAAACACAGCCAAAGTTCAAACATGCAATGATCAGATGATACATTGTGAGGGAGTTTGTTTTTCTTTTTCAATACAGCTTGTGAGTCTTGATACTGTACACTTTTCCATTAGTTTGTATGGTACTTGTTTGCCTCTGATCACCTCTGAAATGGCTTTACCAGTCCAACTCGGTAACCCGTCAACTCCCCTGAAAAACTGATCGATTCACCAAAAATGTGATACCAGTAGGTTGTTAATGGATACTTGAAATGCCTTATTTGTGTCAAATCATGCAAATGATGAAATTGTACATATGAAGCCATCTATTGACATGTGCTGATACTTCATTAAAGTCACTGTTCCTGTAAGTGATGTGTGTGCTTTCTGCTTTCACAGATATCCTCAGATCCATAAGACTATAAGGCCTTTATTGATATATATTTTTAAGCAAAGTTAGTACCAGTAAGCATGCCTGTTACATTTGATTTAGTAGGTTGACAAACACGTCATACAAGTGGCACTGCGCTTGAACCGAGCAGAAGTGCAAAAAGCTGCAGTACCTTGAGTGTCCACAGGAGGCTCGGTTCAAAAGTCCAAGAGTCTCCATTAACACACATGTTAAAACACCCATTGTTGCAGTAGAAATAAACACATTTGCAAGCTAGTACAGTTACGTTTTTTTGTTTGTTTGTTTGTTTGTTTTCATTTATTTGCTTGTTTTGGAGCTAGCAATGTTACCACTTTGCATAATTTGGCACGATCAGGGTAAATTGTAGCTACCTGCCACTGTTACGGGACAGAAAACCTGCATTAGCTCCACCTCTTTGCCTCTGCTGGAATGACTAAAAGTTGGGTTTAGTCAGTGTTTCGTGCATGACCGTTATTAGGCTTCAAAACTACTCTTCAGAAACCAGTGGGTGATATAACAACATCAAGGTTTCGTACTGTATGATTTTTTTTATTTTTCACGTGATCCATCATGACATTAAAATGAGACAAAGTAAGCAACATGTACTTAATGAATTGCATTCAATTGGTGTGCTCGTGTGCTTCTCAGATGGTCAAATTGTCAAAGCTGGGGAATCATTTTTCTGGTTTCAGTTTTAAAACTTTAAGTCTCGGCTGGTTTTGAAAGAAAAGTGTGAGGGCCTGTGCCCACTAGCACTATTTTTGGCAGCATTTATTTTCTATTCAAACCAAATGCACTTTATTCACCATTCATTCACTGTCCTGTGTTCCCAGCCGGAAACAGTTCGTAACTTGGCAACAGTAAGCACTTTGAAATTCAGGATCTATCACTAGGGGGGGAAAAAGTGCAAGGGAGCATGACCCAAACTAGATCTCTGCATTTGACCTTAGCATCAAAGCTAATTGTTAGCATGCTGGCAGGTTAGACCAAAGCCTCAACCATCAAAGACAAAGGGGGTCATGGATAACTCAAAGACATGTCAGTCTCTATGGCAACCCACTGATTGGTCCTAGGTAATGCCAATGTGTTGTATTTTACTGGGTCAGGGAGCCTTAAAAAATGATATACATATATTTTTTTTCACTTAACACAAATTTAAAACCAATTCCACTCATGTTTCTATGCAGCAGACAGAAATCTGGAGACAAAGCTAGCGTAACTAACAGCTTTTAAGCCTGACACCCCGGTTATTTACTGCAGTTACTCTTGCTCTCCATACACACAGGTATATATTGTAGCCGGGAACGATTACGCACTTAGATGAATGGGTAACAGGACCAGCTCCAATTTTTACAGCACTTTGATGCAGTATCACAGTGGGATACTGACCACTGCCTTCACAGCCTCTGCCCTGCTGGATTTATTCTTGGAGGAACTCTGGGTGACTGCTGCTGCGGTGCTGCGTGCCATCCATCTTCTAGAAAAATGAAACTTCTTTTTAGAGCTTGGACTCCATTACTTTCCCCTGTCCACTTCTACTCAGCTTTGTTTCAACCAGGTCTTCCATTCATGAGGAATAAATAAAAATAGATGCATGTATTTTTTGATGACACTCGCTTTTAAGGTGGGAAATAATGGTGCTGCTGCCTGACTTGAGACGAGAGCTTATTTCCTCCTCGCCTCTCACATTTTATTATAGTTAGAAGCTTTCTTTTATGATGGTGGGCATCTGCAATTATACTTTCTGGCTGCATTTGACTACCTTGTCATTTTGTAGTAATTAATTTTAATGGATTTCAACATTAACAGCCCCCATAAGTCTCCTCAAACCTCTTTAAAATGTGCCTTTCTCAGTGATGTGGTCATATGGCACTCCCTATGCAAACCCTCGAGGTAGAGGCAAAATGTTTTTTATACTTTACCCTAAAGGCAGGCAATTTTTATGATCCCAGACATGTCTGCTTTCTGCCTGGTTTGATAAAATGTTTGCTTGTGTTGAAACCAATAATTAAATCCAATATCTCAGATCAACTCAACATGTGTTAAGTGCACGGAGCCGGCTGCAGAGGTGACTAATGCTGTCTGTGGAAATATTGGATTTCACCTTTGGTTACGCCCCCGGCAAATATTTTATCTTCCCGAGCAGACAGCAGAAATCTTTTGGGTCACAACAATCTCTGAAGATACAACCTGATTCTGTAGAACGGGTTAGAAGACATAACTTAGCTTTTCACATAGGTTAACAATGTAGGTGGTGTATAAAGAGTGGGTGACTGGATCCAAAGGTGAGGTTGGAGGTTATAGTGTCTTCGACGGCAAACAGAGGAAGACTCTGCTGATCGCTAGAGAAGTCAAAGCGTAACAAAGGGTGTTAACCCGGGTGTAGCAAGAACATCTGGAGCTCCCCCTAGTGACTGGCTGCAGTTTAGCTCATTGAGCCCGCCTCCACAATTGTAGTAGATGGAATATGGGTCAAACTAGAAAAAAAACATGTCAAATACATTTTCTTAAACTGTTTTTATTATAGTTATTTTCAATCATATGTATTTAGGTTGTGGTCCTCATATTCAGAACACTTTAGTCAAGAAAATGAAGGAACAAGCCCATCAAGGTTGTTAAAGAGATATTTTGATGTAAAATTAATTTAGGGTCAAACACACCGTAACACCGATTTAGACACCCCCTTGACAGATGACTGTTGCCGACCGCTTGCTTCTCTAGTTATAACAACTTTAGTAACGAGCGCACAATTGCAATACACAGTGGTCTATGGAACCACATACAAACCTCAACCAAAACGCCACTCTATAGCCACAAATAATGCTCAGAACAGCACCTAACTTCATCAACAGGACATAAAAGGTCCTAGCTATAGTACTAGCCACCAAACATCTTTTTAACTTTGCCTGATTTCTTTAGCAAAGAGACTAAACACAACTCACCTACTCTCTTCCAGCAGCCGCTTGTTTGTAGCGAAACCTCGGGCCAGTCCATTACAGACATCTGTTGGGTGACGCAGCTCAAGGAAGAACATTTATGATCATTAGTTCATCATTTCCATGAAGTAATAATCACCATATTAACCATTTTGCACTGCAGACTCTGTAGTTCTTCTTCCTTAGCATCTCGGTCTGATTGCATTTCCATGTTCTTCCTTGAGTAATGGACTGGCCCGAGGTCTCTACAAACAAGGGGCTGCTGGAAGAGAGTAGGTGAGTTGTGTTTAGTCTCTTTGCTAAAGAAATTAGGCAAAGTTAAAAAGATGTTTGGTGGCTAGTACTATGGCTGGGACCCTATATGTACTGTTGATGAAGTTAGGTGCTGTTCTGAGCATTATTTGTGGCTATAGAGTGGCATTTTGGTTGAGGTTTGTTTATGGCTCCTCAGACCGCTGTGTATTGCTATCGTGCGGTCGTTACTTAAGTTGGTATAACTAGAGAAGCAAGCAGTTGGCAACATTCATCTCTCAAGGGGGTGTCTAACTTGGTGTTGTTGTGTGTTTGACCTTAAGTTAATTTTACGCCGGAATATCCCTTTAAGCTTCATATCTCACCATGAGAGATCAGTCAATAGCGTGAAATCAGATAGAAAAATGAGCCTTCTCAGTTAATTCATTGCCTGGCCAAGCATTTTCCGATGAGTTACAGGTCTACAGTAGTGGACTCAGCCTGCATAGACTGGTCAGATCAATCAACAATTGAGATGGTCTCCCCTTATGTGAATTGCAAACTTCTGTCACTATCCTGATGTAAAGTCACTCTTGTCGCTTAGCAACAGGTGACAACCTGGCTAACCAACTGGCATAGTTACCTCAACACTATCACAAAGATTTCAAAGATAACACTAATTGTATTTGTACAGCCTGCTACTGAGTTAAAACTCGGCAGATTGGGGTCTGCTATCTTGATTATATTAGCGCCCAGAGAATTACAGGATAAGGGGAACCGCAAAGAATTGACCTGATACAGTCTTCATGGTCCAGGAAAAGCAGGGCAGATTTGTCGGCCACATGGACTTGAGACAGCGGTGATGCATGTAGTCTTCAAATGCAGCCTTGTACAGACCACAAATCTGGATTTCATTCAATTATTAAGGGACGCAGTTGGCCAAACAGTTCAAGCATGCAACCCATGTACTGAGACTCCTCAAGCGGGTGGCCCAGGTTCCATGTATCACTCCTTGCTCTCTGTCCAGGTTCCTTGAAAAACAATTTACAAAACAATCACAGAGCAGGGTTTGCTTAAAGGCAGGCTAACACGGTTACTTGTTTGCTATGGTCGCAGCAATCTGATATCTGTATGTAGTTTGTATTAAGGGTTACGTGATAGAATCAAAGAGTGATGTTTAAGTCATGTACAGAGCTGCGATAATCCCAAAACCAATTGAAATTTCATCATCGTCCTACAGTACTAAATAGAGCAGAATCTGACCCTGAATCAGACTGAGATTGTAGCTGTGAGGGAAACACATGCTAATCTAATGTGCATAATAACTAGACTAAATGGCCTTGTCACACCAGCATGTGTCACTCCCATTCATTAACACACAGAGCGTTAATTTCAGTCAATTAAGAGCCGTAATGAGGAGAGACAACCATGGTTGGCGGTAATAAGCTGTGGACATTGCACCTACTGTAAATACAGGTGTGGTTTTTGTTAGTGATCAATAGTGAATTAATCTGCATCTGAATGGCATGTATCCAGTGTTTCCCTGCTGTGACTCGGCTCTGCACATGTTATTTGTTTGCTCCATCTGTGCTGTGGATTGTGCAGCATAAACACAGATGCCAAATTACAGCACTGTCCACCGTCCATTGTACAGAGAACACCATTTGTCGCAGCAGCAGCGACTGTTATACACGGCTGTACAAATACACAAAAAGGCTCTTCAGGATTTGTTTTATTTGCTCCGGGCTATCGCAAATTGAACGAGCATTTGAAAGATGTTTCCTGTCCAACATGGGATTGCTAAATGGGCATAATATGTGCAAGATGGTAGCAGGCAGCGTCCCGTTTTGTGTCAGTCTTCAGAGTGGCTCTTTGGGCTGATGCTGTAGGCTC